GATCCCATGGCTGCTCCTTGAAGTTGTTTGTAGAAGTTGCTGCGCCACTTGAAGGAGTTTGAGTGGAGGCAGGTGAGAAGGAGGTCGTGGATCTGGTCAGGTGTGAGCTTGGTCCTAGATTCGAGGTCTGGGTCTGAGATGAGGCGTTGTTTGATGATGTCGCATGCTTGGTCTACAGGAACGCTGGTGAATAGAGAGGTGACATCGAAGCTGACGAGCGTGTCGGATGGCTGGATCTTGGTTTTGGAGAGGATGTCGATGAAGTGCTTGGAGTTGGTGACGTGGTGCTGGGTTTGGCTTACGAGTGGTTGTAGAATGTTGGCGAGATGACGTGCAGTGTTGTAGCAGGATGATCCTCGGGTAGAGATGATAGGGCGGAGAGGGATGAGTGGCTTGTGAATCTTGGGCTGTCCGAAGAGGATGGGTGACTTAGCTGACGAAGATCTGAGTTGGAAGTAGAGTGCCTTGGGTAGTGCGTCGGATCTGTGTAGGGTCAAAAGTTGTTGGTTGGTCTTCCTTTCGTTGGCCAGGGTTGGGTCCCTCTTAAGTTTGGAGTAGGTTTCCTTATCTTTGAGTAGGTCGCAGATCTTATCTTCGTATGCATCTTGGTCCATGACGACGGTGGCGTTTCCCTTGTCTGCTTGTAGGATGTGGATGGATTGGTTCTTGCGGAGGTCTTGAATAGCGGATCGTTCTACTTTGGATAGGTTGGGTTTGGGTGGCTTAGCTTTGGCGAGAGCGTTGGTAATTTTGAGTCGGATGTCGTTGGCAGCAGCTTTGTAGAGGAAACGGAGCTTGGGTTCTACTTGTTGCACGATGTCGGAAAACGGTATCTTCTTGGGAGCTACGGCGAAGTTGAGTCCTAGGGATAGAACCTGGTGTTCGGCTTGGGAGAGTCTGTGCTGACTGAGGTTGACTACTGTGTCCTTAATGGGAGGGTCGTTGGTGCGGATCGGCTTGCGTGAACGTAGTTGGTCGAACTTCCTAATCTGCTTGAGTTTGGTGGTCTGAAAGGCGAGTTGGGCGGTGTGGTCGTTGAAGGACTGTACTTTGCTGAGGTCATCAGGATTGAGTTGTTGGTTGATCTTAGACTGAGCTGCAGAGATAGCGGTGTTGAGATCGTAGAGTTGGTGGCGTGTGTATACGATGCGTTCTCGGGTAAGGTCAATACCGGCTTGGTGTAGTATGCGCTGAGCCTTGGGGGTGTGAACGGAGGATTTGAGTTGAAGGCCTGGAGAGATGGTGTCCGAGTCGCGGCAGCGTTTGAGGAAGGCTAGGTGGTTGGTGAGCTTGGCTGATTTAACTAGGTCGCGCTGGAGTTGTCTAGCGATGAGTTGAGTAGACTCCCCGTAGAGCTGAATCAGATGATGTTTGAAAGTGTATAATTGTTTAACTTTTCCTTGTGAAATTAGGAAAAAATAAAACACAAGATATCATTGCTGCACATACAATGTATGCACACGTCATTAATCTTTCAGCCCATTAATGTCAGTATTAATTTCAAAATTCGAAAATAAAGCTCGTTGTTTTAGCTGCCGGCTTTTTGTGTATCGAGATAAAATTGAGATATTACAAAGAGCGCCCCCTCTCTGCGTTTAAGATACAGAAAGCGTTCTCGGGTAAGGTCAATACCGGCTTGGTGTAGTATGCGCTGAGCCTTGGGGGTGTGAACGGAGGATTTGAGTTGAAGGCCTGGAGAGATGGTGTCGGAGTCGCGGCAGCGTTTGAGGAAGGCTAGGTGGTTGGTGAGCTTGGCTGATTTAACTAGGTCGCGCTGGAGTTGTCTAGCGATGAGTTGAGTAGGCTCCCCGTAGAGCTGAATCAGATGATATTTGAAAGTGTATAATTGTTTAACTTTTCCTTGTGAAATTAGGAAAAAATAAAACACAAGATATCATTGCTGCACATACAATGTATGCACACGTCATTAATCTTTCAGCCCATTAATGTCAGTATTAATTTCAAAATTCGAAAATAAAGCTCGTTGTTTTAGCTGCCGGCTTTTTGTGTATCGAGATAAAATTGAGATATTACAAAGAGCGCCCCCTCTCTGCGTTTAAGATACATAAAGGAACCCCCCTCCCCCCCCCCCCCCGAGAAACATTTGTAACGTACCACGAGCGGGTTTGTTAGGATAGCGCAAAAAACAAGGAGAAAAAAAAAGAAAGAAGAAAAGGACAGAGATTGGTAAGCTAACATGATATTAATATCTCCCCTTTTTTGTGGGGGGGGGGGGGGGGGTAAGAAGAAGAAAAAATAAACATAATATATGCAAGCATATTATGAGTGTATAGACGTAAATTTGATTTAAAAATAAATGTTCTCATAGTATTCGGCAATAATGGTCATAAACTGACTGACTTGCCTAAATTAAACAACATGAAACAACAACAACACTAACCTAGGCAGTCTCACGGAACGACGAAAATCTACATGATTCAACTGTACCAAATGAAATATTTAAGGTATCCATCATCCTATGCTGGATATGCCGCTTGTACGTGAGCTGATTTGTACTAAGGACTATGATGACAGCGTAATACAAAAACAGTGTAATACTACAGATGTGTATTTATATATATATATATATATATATATATATATATATATATATATATATATGAATATCATGCAAATCGATTCCACACGCAAATACATTTCAAAGTGGTAGCATAACATAAACGTATGAAACGAGTTTTTCTTGTTCATAATCGCATGGCAATTTGGAGATCCTTTGCCGACCTCTAAATGTATAGATTTATTATTCAAACCTCAACGTCACGGTAATTTGTCTTTATATTATGACGATATACAGATTTCATTAAACCAACTGAAGTACTTGAGGATTTATTAAGAACCAGCCCCGCTCTCCATAGAATGGACACAAGTTAATATTCATGAGCCCAAACCACTACCCGTTTTCTAGGGTAAAAATATATGGCGCCATTGATATACGTTCATAGATTTATCTTAAACAACGGGGGACCATTAAGATATTCATGCGTGGGTCGTTCGCGAAATAGGCAACTTGGCGATCACTACATGGAGTGGTCAAGTGTGACGTCATCAACAACTTTTCTTAGAGTTTCCAAATTTGAACTTCATTTTTCGAAAGAGCATCAAAACTAATGTCCAAATTTCGAAAACCAATTGATTATGTTAAGTATTGGCTGAGATATGACTATCAGAAGAAATAGATTTCAATGGGAAATCACTGTTTTTTTGCTCTGGTTCGAAATGTTATAAACCAGAGTATTAAACATAAAAGGGATTTCCTATTGACCTCTTTTTATTGGGATGGTCATATCTCAGCCAATAACTGTATGGGCTAAGTCCACTCCAAAACTAATTGCTTTTAATAGATGCAAAAAAACAAGGGAAACAGAACCCCCAAATTGAGTAAAATCGGATAACTAATAAGGAGGTTATGGAAAACTTAGAAAATCACAACACAAATTGCCAAATTGGTTATCAGTTTGTGACGTCATTGCCTCACTATTTATCAATTGCTTTATATATTTTTTATCCAATTAATTTCCCTTTTTATCCCTCAAATCTTGATTTCCCCATGCCTTCGCCGATGTTGTATGATTTGTATTATATTGCGTGCATGACATTTCACAAAATCTTTTATGAACTTTGAAGAATTGATACTTTTTTTTGAATATTTGATATTTATAATCATTGATTTTTACATCAATAGTTTATAAAAACTCACATTTTGCATGATTTAACTGAACAAAACTACTCTATATTAGTGCATCCACATTAAAAAAATATTACTTTCAATATAGCTTGGATGCTGGTGAGAGGAAATACCGTTTTAAGGGGATTGAATTGGAAATTTATATTATCAATATAAAGAAAACAATTCGTGGATAGTGAGGAAATGACGTCACAGACTCATGAGTGAGGTGCTAATTTGTCTTGTGATTTTCAAAGTTTGTTCATGTCATCAAAAATTCATAACTTTCTTATTAATTATCCAATTTTTATCAAACTTTTTTTGATTGGTTTGTCTGATTTTTCTGCTTCTATTGAAAGTAAGTTATTTTTCGGAGTGGAATTGCCCAAATTCAATTGGTTTTCGACATTTGGACATTATTTTTAATGCTGTTTCGGAAAATGGGGTTCAAATTGAGAAATTCTAAAAAAAATTTCTTCAAGATTTCACAGCTTCAGTACTCTATAACACTGAGCCAGCGGGTATGACGCTCCCGTGCGTACGCCTGCATGTGCTGCCCTATATAAATCTACGCATGAGCAAATTTAATCATTTAAAAGTATAGATTTTGGCAATACGACACACAGAACTACGAATATAGAAAAAGTTGATAACAAAAATGTGGTATTCATCGACACACACACACACACACACACCCAATATATAAGTATTGTTGACCAACTTATCCTTGTTACTTGTACCAAAGTTCTGTAATAAAAAAAAAAAAGCGCTCTTAAAAAAAAGACCTATCGGCACATAATTGTAAGAATTAAAAAAAATATATAGGGACGCTCCCTCAGAAATTCCCTCAATTTAACAAGGAAGGAAACGTGCCTCGGTCATTGAAAGATAACAGCTCAGAGTATTGTGTTTGGATCAATTAACGAATAATATACTTTGATAAAGCATTGTCCTCAATTGGTGTTTGGATCATAATAGGTTAAACTATTTCCGCTGTGGTGTAGCCAGACAGGGGGCATCGCGAGAACATTTCAAATCGAGGGAGGAGATGCCGGCCATATTTGTCCGCCTATTCATTCGAAAATAACTAATTAGAAAAACAATACTAGTGATAAAAAATAATTTCTCGCCATTTTATAGTCATACAAATATTAGATCACAGATAATAATTTGCCCACAAAGTTCAGTAGACTCCTAAACGTAGTCTATGCACGCGGGGGGGGGGGGGGGAATTGAGGGACGAACCCGGATCCCGTTACACGCATTTCCTTTGCATGGGCACACAGTTCCTCTTTTCGGTAAAAGTGGCATTAAGCTCTGTAACGTTATACTTCGGGTACACACACAGTTCCTCCTTTCGATAGTAAGAGTAATACAATTCTGGAGCATTTCACCTCGAAGATACAGATAGTTCCATTTCTTATAAAATTGGTATTCGTATCCGAATCATAGTCATTTTTGAATAGGCAGATCAACCTGTTCGTTATTTCTAAACACTACCAATCTCTCGACTTCTAGGCAAAGGTAAGTTCACTTTTACCCTGGTCGTTATCAATCCATGAATATATATGTTTGTAATTTTCATATATCTTCAAGCTTCTTTTCATGACAAATTGACTTTGTTCATGTAAATGGGAAGAATATTGTATACAGTTTTCTGCCCTATTTTCTAAGCAACAGTGTATAATTGTTTACCTTTTCCTTGTGAAATTAGGAAGAAAATATTATATTTTCCCCATTACATAATTATACGAACTTTAATGGCAAATATTACGCAGTGGCGTAGTTAGAGTTTAAAGGGATAGTTGAGTTCTGTTGCAGAGTGCGCTACACAAAATAATTTGTTTGTGAGATAATGAAAAACTGAGTGTCAAATTTGAAAGAACATAATATTTAAATGACAAAATAATCTTTGTTTGATCGAAATCGGTTCAGAGACGGCTGAAATATAACCATTTATAATACTTGTGTACCACCACAATTGAAATTGAAAAATTGAAAAACCGTTGAAAAAAACGAAATAACGCCTTTCACGTCGTATTTCAGCCAATGCCGATGTTAGCTTTTTTGTTGGCATTTTCTTGTTGCTTATATTACGCACAACCAGCCGGCCCATGTACTGTTTTTTTTAGTTAAATAATTAATTAATGGTCACTATGTTTTTTTTTAAAGTGGAGCTGAATTGGTATGCTCGTATTGGCTAAATTTCACACATTTTGGGGTCTAAAATTACCTTCATAGCAATTTTAGGTTCATAAAGGGCACTAGAAATGTCATTGATAAGTATAAGAGCAATAACCATGGACTTTGAAGGCATTTGCGGTCTGAAAACAGAACTCAACTATCCCTTTAATAAGTGGGGAGGGGGTTAAAATCACCTCAGAAGGGTAGACAGGGTGAAATAATGATCCATAGACTGCGTCTTAGTGGCTTAAAACTGAATAGTATTATGTTGAAGGCTGGTAGGCACCACTCTGAAAATTGTGAGTGTTTTTCTTAGGAAAAAGAGACAATTCACCACTTTCTGTACGTTTGAACTAGATTGTATAATACAGAGTGCCCTCTTACATAATGTACCTGCGGAATTAAATACCTAATAGAGCCGGAAGAAAATTGGAGACTTTAATTGTGGACACACACATTGCACTCATTATGTACTAAGATCACATCGATTCGAAGTAAGCTGCCAGTAGGGCAACCCCATGATTGTGGTGTAGATCCTTAGTCGAAAGAAAATAGAGTAGACCGGAAAGGGTCTATGAAGTGATTATTGTATATGTTTTCTGTACACATCAACGTTTTAGAATTTATAAGTAAAACACAAGATATCATTGCTGCACACGTCATTAATCCTTCAGCCCATTAATGTCAGTATTAATTTCAAAATTCGAAAATAAAGCTCGTTAAAATGTGTTTGATATTAAATGTATTTTGGCTGCCGGCTTTTTGTGTATTTCGAGATAAAATTGAAATATTACAAAGAGCGCCCCATCCCTGCGTTTAGGATACATAAAGGACCCCCCCCCCCGAGAAACCTTTGTAACGTACCACGAGCGGGTTTGTTAGGATAGCGCAAAAAACAAGGATAAAAAAAGAAAGAAGAAAAGGACAGAGATTGGTAAGCTAACATGATATTAATATCTTCCCTTTTTTGTGTGTGTTTGGGGGGGGGGGTTAAGAAGAAAATATATACATAATATATGCAAGCATATTATGAGTGTATAAACGTAAATTTGATTTAAAAATAAATGTACTCATAGTATTCGGCAATTATGGTCATAAACTGACTGACTTTCCTAAATTAAACAACATGAAACAACAACAACAACAATAACCTAGGCACCCTCGCGGAACGACGAAAATCTACAAGATTCAACTGTACTAAATGAAATATTTAAGGTATCCATCATCCTATGCTGGATATGCCGCTTGTACGTGAGCTGATTTGTACTAAGAACTATGATGACAGCGTAATACAAAAACAGTGTAATACTACAGATGTGTATTTATATATATATATATATATATATATATATATATATATATATATATATATATAAATATCATGCAAATCGATTCCACACACAAATACATTTCAAAGTGGTAGCATAACATAAACGTATGAAACGAGTTTTTCTTGTTCATATAGTCGCATGGCAATTTGGAGATCCTTTGCCGACCTCTAAATGTATGGATTTATTATTCGAACCTCAACGTTGCCTCTTTGATTTCCTTTCAAAAAGCAATATGATTAACGTATTGACTATTGACCACCAATAACGCTTTTTAATTCGTTCTTTTATTCCAGAACAATCGTCGATAAAGGCTAATGAGATTTTAGCACCATGTTGGTGAGCTCATCCGCGTGGTTAACAACCTTTCTAGTCCTGAGGTAATTATTAAAAAATAAAAATTAAAGACAAAAAAGAAGGTACAATAATTCTAACAAAGCCTTTAACTAATGCTGATTAAGGACATTCTTATTTTGATGAGGTAATACAGAAATAGTGTGGTAAAATTTGCTCATCAACATCCCGAAGCACCGCCTCCGAGACTGACGCCAGACCAACTGCAGACGGAACAAATAATTAAATTTCCCAAATGGACAAAATTAGTCGGTTTGGAGTCATGTTGGTAGGGGGCGAGGGGGCGGAGGTATTAACAAGATGTTATTTTTCGTGTGTAGGCCAATGCTTCATTCTGATGAAGGTGGTGCAGTTTCACTAATAATAAATATACGACAAAATATGCATCAAATGTCACGATTAGCTTACCAGCTTTATGAATGTCAGGTAACTATGATTTCAAATCCAATAACCCTTATCATGCATATACGTGCACCAATATCCAGAAAATGTGGGTACACAGGGTTACAGGTGTAGATGGATAAATGAATGAAGGAAAAGAGATACAATAGAGAGAGAGAGAGAGAGAGAGAGAAAGGAATCCTTCCAAAATTGATTTGTTTTCTCTTTGAATTTGTGTTTTTGCCCTTGATCAATATCATTTTACAAATCTAATGCGAATGTTATTTACTGGAGACAATGGATTGATCAGTTCAAATGATATTTTTAATGCGGTATAATTTCCCTTGTCAGAGAAAAACAGGAACCGATCTTCCTAGTATTTCATCACTTCCTGTAAAACAGTAGGCTCCAATGGTTGTGTATGGGTTCATGTATACAGTGTATTCTTAATAACAACTTTGGCCTGAGTGTTCGTGCTAGAAAAAGATCATATATAAGATCAAGTAGCCCAACTCTAACTGAAAACGAAACTTTAATCTAAATATCATTTACACAAGACATTAATTTAAATGCATTTATCTACCTTTTCTCACTTGATAGCAGAAGACAAAATTCAAACTTTTTGTATGAAGCATTTTGTTCAGTTACTGGAAAATTATAAAACAAATCAGTTATAATTGTCATCATGCCCCAGTAGTTTTTGTCCCAAATTACGTCAATGTTGAATATGAACAATTTCTCTTCTCCTTGTCCAACATGATGTCCAAGGCACACGAGGCGTTAATCTACTACCGCCAATTGATTGTTTCATTCAATAGTATTCATGCCTCAGTAAGCAGTCAACAAAAGGAGCCTAAAGATAATGACGGTTGCGCCTGGGAATGTCACACAAATTTACATTTTCTTTGAACGCATTTTTGTATGTAGATTGTTATGATGATAATAATAACAATAATGATTATAAACATAATAATAATATTGTGGGTTGAAATAACGCTTAATATATCGACGTCCTCTCTATGCGTTGTTACATAGTACATGTATATTATTACATCGGTCATTAGATTCAGGCGAGCCAATGCACAATGTATTTCCGCCAGTTTTCCGTCAAAACTCTTTATTCAGATAAACCCGAAACTTTGCAAATCTCTATCGCGCCCTGCTTCACGGGGTTGCGTCTGTGGCTAGAGATTGCACCTGGACCTGCATGATATATGCATATACATATATATATATATATGCCTGGTTGTCCTGGAGTGGAGTAAGTGAAACAACGCCTCGTGTGCACAGGGCCAAACACCATCTCTCCTTTACCCTGATCGCATATTCTTCTTTTGATTATCCAGCACATTTTTTACCCTCGGGTGCAGCCAGAGATGTGGGGGTTCCATAGAGGCCGGAGCTGGTGTGATACGTTCCACTAACTACCCTGACGGGTATCCAGCATCGGACTGTGTTTGGATCATTGACTCTGGCGCCGAGAACAGGATTAGACTCAAGTTCCAGGTCCGCGACTGCAGGTATGACCATCTTCATACCAGTCACGCCACTAATCCGATCCAGACCAACTTTAAAAAATAACAATTTTCGGCCATTAGGGGTAATATATATCATGTTTGGTCTACTGTTGGTCTCGCTGGTGTGACCGAGTTTTTTGTTTGCCTTAAAATGTATATGCTAACGGGTACAGTGGTTAAATGCAAAAATCTTTTATCTTTGCAAACAATACTGTTTTTGTCTCGACCAGGGCATTTCTTTAAGTGGAAACTCTTAAAAGTGAAAAGGTTCGGGGGAGGAATCCTTGCCACAACACTTACTTTTTTTTAGCAAGATGTCAATCTACACATTGCTACACTCTATCCAGGTGAGGTTAATGGGTCCCTGGTAGGATTATTCCTTGAAATGCCCTGTGCGCTAATAACGGCTGCCTGAGCAAAAGCTAGAATAATAATTTTCAAAGCTTTTTGAAAGCGTATATCATAACGAAAGTATGTAGTATTGCAAACATTTGCCGTTTACTAAAAACGTTCGGCTTCAGCCCAACTCTGAAACAAGTTTGGAAATAGCGTTAATGTCGTTACTGTTTATTTCTGTATGCCATTATTAATATTAGTGGAGATTCCCTTTGGATCTATGATGGAAACGGGACGGTTGGAGTACCACGTTTGGGCCAATACTGTTCGACAGTTCCACCCACATCTATTGACTCTAGTGGACGGTTGGTGACAATCAAGTTTATGTCCGTGGGAGGAGCGGAAAACAACCAAGGCTTCGTCATATCCTATGAATCGAGTAAGCTTTTGGTTGATGTTTTTGCCAGGTTTTCTTTTAGGCACACGCTTTGCCGCATTCATGTTATCTTGGTCTAACTTAAGGTTGTTCATGGTAAGAGATTTGATTTTAAAAGGGTGTTTTCCAGGTTCCCGTTTCCATTTTGTCTATGACCACATTGATAATCTATTTTCTTCACAATCAGCTTATATGTTTTCTCCTTTAAATACACTGCTCTCCTCTGGATATTAATGATTTCATATGCTGATCCTCATTTGTAAATTGCAAGTTCAGATACAGCTAATCTTTAACATATCTACATTATTTTGAGTGAATCCGTCGTAAAATGATTTCTTTAAAAGAAAATTACCAATGTGTTTCAAGCATTCCTACTGCATGTTAGATTTGGTATCCCTTTATCTTTCCTTGACAATATGAAAATATTTTTTCCAATGTTTTCCTTGGGTTACCCCTTCTTATTTCTAGTCGACTTAGCGCTTGGTTCTCGAGTCATTTGGAGTGAGATTGAAGCGTCCACGGGTTCGGTTCGATTGAACAGTGTACCGGCAGACCCCACCGTGATGTTGAAACCAGATGGCACAGTCCAGGACACCATCGTGACCGATTTCTACTTCATGGCCCCAAGTGGTAACTGGACCGCCCTAGAAACCCGGTATGGTGAGCACGAACTGATTTGGAGTGATGGTCTTCGAAAGGTCATGATCAAGGGTACGTCATTAAGATATTAATCGTTTCTTTTAATTCGGTTGCATGTGAGGCGTCCCTTGCCTGTGGGTGACTCAATCTTTTACAAGCCGTATGAGAGTGACATCGTAGAAAAAAAAGGAAACGGAAAATGATCAGCTAAAACAACGTGTTCAATTACCGGCGTATTGACGCAGGTATAACGCAATCGAAATCACTGGTATAACCTGAATTCATGTGTTCGATTGGCTTTTATGTCGTTGTGCCTGCGTATGAGCATGAATCTGCAAGAATGTATCTCAATCATGTTTGTATTCTTCTGTTGCGTTATCAAAGTTCCGTCACCTCTACAACTTGCAAATCATTAAAGCCAGTACATGTTTCGGATCGTTTCAGATATGGTATTTAAACCTATTGCCAATTTTTTACATTAACGCGTCATACCAAAAGACGTTAAAAGATGGGAGTTGTTGCTACCTTGTTTGGCGTTCAACAATAAGGGTTAGAGCAACGTCGATCTGGCGCTGTTCAGTGGCTGCCGGGCTCACGATCAATTGGGCAACAAGAATTTCCGTTTTGGTTTAATAAAATTTGGAGTGGACTATTAGGCTATTATTCATTATTATTTTTTCTTCTTCAGGGTCAATGGGAAGTAACCGATCGGCGAAAATCTACTACGGTTTTACATCATCCAGCGTTCTCGGAGTCGCCGTTGATTGGCTGACGGGCAACGTGTATTGGACAGATGCAGCGTATGATTGGATAATAATGCATGACGCAAACGGGACGCGTAACGTACTGATTATTGACGAGGGCCTGGATATTCCTACAGGCATAGCCATTCATCCATCCAGGGGGTAAGATAATTTATTTTCAGTTTCTTTTCGAAAGTAGATCTGGGAATTTCAGTCGAGAGGAAATGTTTGGAAATTCCGGAAGTTCATGATCCGGTGGATGCGTGGCGTAGATAGTAGTTAATATTTTTCCAAAGAGGATTGGTGGTGCTGGTGGTGGTAAGTGGTAGCAGGGGGGAGGGGGGGGGGTTGTTCCTATTTGTGATCTAATCTCTCGTCCATATAGATATTTTCAGAGGATGATATCAAGCAACTAAACTTGATGTTACAAATCCTAAACCTGCAGGTTCAAGACCTGGCGGAGTACCTGTATTTTTCTAAGCTACTTATGATTTTTCCCTCATTTATTGAATAATAGTTACCTGTTAACGGAGGCTTTCACGAAGATTACATTACAAAAGTAAACCAACTAAAATTCTTAGTTTTCGAGCACACGTTTTTTCCCATCAGATACCTATTCTGGACTGACTCAGGATCCAGGCCAAAGGTAGAGAGGAGTAATCTTGCAGGAGGAGGTCGTCTTCAGCTGGTTTCCACAAACATCGTTCGTCCCTCTGGAATAACAGTTGATTATGAAACTGACTTGTAAGTATAACAAACTGAAGTACACGAATAACTAGTCAGACAGGAGTAAATCTCCATGGATAGAGGGCTGGAGCGCATTGGGAGCTCAAGCCCGTCAAAAAATTGCTCAAGTCTTCTCTCACTGATTGAGTTGTTCCATTTTGATAAGTAGAGTAAACATCTTTGTGACACAATACAGTACAAGATTAACTCAACGGCAGTAAATGATGAAAAAAAAATACAAACTGGAAAGTAATTACCGTGAAAAGAAAAAGTCAATAAAGTTTTCTACCTAATGATACGTTTACACTATGTTCCTGGCGGCTGCGGCATTCCGTTTGCCCCAAACGTAGAGCGCCGTTTTCAGTCTTGTTAGGTCTTGCCAAGTTTTCCAGTACGTTCCCTGCCGGCCCGTCACGTTCTCACGGGGTCCCTCACGATTCTCACGTTGTGATCAAGGTCTCACACGTTTTTCACATTCTGTCAAGGCTTTCTACAGATGAAACGTGGACGCAGGGCAACTTTGAAGCCCGTTTGTGCCCACTGTATAAAAAAAAGGCCTCCCATGCATTGGCAATCATTGTATCCTGAGACCAGCGCGTAAGACCGTAGTAGAACGCAAAGCGCCTTAGTGCGCCGATCCCGTAAAACTTCCTACTACGGATCACCTCCAATATTTGTTACGGTCTATTACGTACTGACACGTTTTGTTGCGTTCACCCCGTTTTACTACGGCCTACTAGGCTTCTTATCCGCGCCATGACTGCCGTGACAAATTTTATGACAGTTTAAAAATCTGGCCCGGCATCTACGGCATTCACGGCCTGTCACGTTTGTCCATTCCGTCCCCCGCGTTGTCTCACGTCCATCCCGTTTAGTCCACGCGGTGCCCTGAAACGTGATTTCCATGGCCGCCGGGAACACGTAGCATAGCTTCAGTATTCTAATTATACATTAACTATACTGCACTCTTAGACTTTTAATTTCCAATTTTGAGTAAGGCCAGGGAATTCCACCCTAAAATCGTAATATTTATGCATTTTTTGGAGTTATTATCATAAATTGACAGTCTAGTGTAGGGCTACTTGATCTTAGATATGCTGAGTGGTAGTAATGAGGAAAAATAGCCACCGGGACTACGTCAGGCTTCACTGAGTGTAATCTAAATCATTGGACTCTTTGATGACCTCAGAGTGTATTGGGTGGATTCCGATCCATCCTACAACCACATGGAAGTCTGCAATCTTGAAGGGGCAAATCGCAGGACACTGATGGACTCTCCAACCAATCTAGGCCTTTTCGACTTGACCATCTCCGGGGTAAGTGCGAGTATAAATTAACATTACTCATCGACGAGATGCCAAACAAATTATTACATCTTTCGTTTGGATACCCAAATTGCCAAAGAATATTTATCAAATACAAATACAGTCCTACGAATACCAATTTAGATATAACGTCATAAGTTCCGTCACAACCAGATTGGACATGTGAAGATTTCCTGAAGTCATCTTTTATGAATGAATGGCACATCAGTCTATTCTAGTTTGTTGAGCAGAAACATTTGAAAATCATAAAACTAGTCTCTTCTTGAACCTGCTCAATCCGTTTAGAAACACGGTAGTGAATTATTATATGCGTCATTTGATGTTGAGTGTTAAATTTTAGATCGAATTTATTCTTATTCAACCTATGTGTTAATGTTGCGGATTGTTTTGACATAACGAAATCAACTAAATAGCAAATAAAGATGGGCATTTGCGGACAACTTGACAAGTAAAAGTTTTTAGTGATTTAAATACAGTGCGTCCCAGAAAAAACGAAACCGAGAATTATCGACGTTTTATCATAACTTAATCAAAAGTGTAATTGATAAATGACGCATATTTGGAAAGCTTAGATCCTCCTCTTTCATTTGATGCAACTCATAATGATGCATATTTCACGCATGAGTAATTAAAATAAATTTGAAGAGAGGAAACCAAAAAGTCATTTGGCGGACGATTTCTGAATTTCAAAGAGAAAATCACATTTCTAGAAAGTTGAGTTTCTGCCCTTTCATATGACACCTCAATCAGGAAAAATGAGCAAGAAATGACAAAGTTCTGTTTGTTTAAAATAGTGCTTGCATTTCCATAATTTTATAAAACGAATTCGTTTTCACTGGCTGCCTGCCGTAGCAAGAAAGGGAATTAACAAAAAAATTAACTCTGCTTCGTTGACAATCAGTCGTAGACGAAAGGCGTCATGCATAGCTGATTGTCACCGAAATGGAGTTAAGTCTTTTGTCAATTCTGCTTCTTGCTACGGCAGGCACCCAGTGAAAACGCACTGTATTTCATGTTTTTGACTAAATTAACATCCAATGCGTCAATGTACTTCGATGTGTTGTGGTATGATGGTTCATTACCTGACTCTCATTCAAAGGATTGAGGGTTCGAATCCTAGTCCGGCACTAAGGTCTTTTGGCAAACGCTAATCCACATTTGCCATTTACCATACTGGTATAAATGGGTGCCTGGCAATTGCTGAGTTAATAATAATTGAAGGACCAGAAGGAACTGCAGTATTAATACTGATGTGGCCACCTCGGGTAAATATTTGGCATGCTCAAAGACTCTAGCAGGGCTTTATCACCGCTCAGATATTAGAAGTAGTCGTTAACCCATGGAAACAAAAATAGATTGGATTTGCATTTGTAGATCGGCGTGTCTTTGTCAGTGTTGATATCGAGGCATTTGTTTCTCCTCTTTAAAGAACTACATCTACACAACGGCAAAAGAGGCCCAGAAACTGATAGTGCTAGTGAAAGACAGTGGTCAAGAACTATTCAATCTTGGCCTCCAATATACTCCATACAGCATCGTGACCTATGCACCGGATGTACAACCTCAGGGATATTGTAAGTCTTTAAAAAATAATCTATTGAAAGAACATTAGATCCTGGCGCCATCTTATCAAGACATGTTACGTGTCGTCTGAATCAATCGCAACCTGACGTAAAGATCAATTTAAATCGTCAGTCTGACCGTAAGAGAGAGATAATGATATTTTTTGTACGATTGACTGCAGGACTTGAAGGGCAAGTTCACTCCAAAAATAACTTACTTAAAGTATATAAAGAACAATCAGACCAATCAAAAAAAAGTTTGACCAAAATCGGATAACTAATAAAAATTTATAATAATATAAAAATATTCCGTGTTTATATAGCGCTCAATACATCGATCCAACGATGTGTCTAAGCGCTTTACAGATATATTATTACCCCGGTCATCGGATTCAGGCTTACCTGAATTTTTGAAAATATATGTTAAACTATGAGGGGACTTTACGATCTTTATGATTAGTCTGGATCAATCGCAACTCTTTACAATTAGGAACCTAAAATCAAGTCTTATTTCACCATTTAAAGATAAAGGTGAGTTCTGGTCATCCGATTGCATTGTGAAAGAAAAGGTGTGGAATGGATCAGAAAAAGTTGATCATGTAGCATGTCAGTATTGGTGTGTACTGCAAAGTTCTGGAGTCATCAAAATCATAATAAATTTGGCCCGGTCTTGGTAAAGTAACAAACACTGTACACAGAAATATGAATATGGGACTACACAAATGATGTCGAGGCTACTAACCTTGATTTCCTAATCTTTATATGGTCATTACTTAGCCAGTATACATTTTCTACCAAAGATTGTTAGGCAAATGACATTTATTTGTAATCTTGAACATGCAGTGAAAGTTTGATTCTGTAAATTACCTTTATAAAGGATCAATTAGAATTACTTACGGATCATGTCGAAAGAAGACAGGTCTGTGAAGATTGATTTTAGTTACTGATGTCATCATTATGATATTCTTTGATTCTAGAATAACGAGCATATATATATATTATAATTTTCTTGTCTCTAAAATTACAAATTTGTTATGCTTATAGCACCGTGTAGCAGTAACCCTTGTAGCTTCCTTTGTGTCGGGGGAGGACCCAGCGGTTACTCCTGTCTCTGTGGAAACGGTTTCCTCCTAAAGGAAGATGGTCGTACATGCGAAAAGGGTAAGCCTTCAAGCGCAAGCTCTCTGTTGTGGATTGATTTGTGTGTTTCTCAGTAAGAAGATGTGTGATACATGTAGTTAGATATATTATTGAAAACAAGAAACATATCACATACAGCAGGCTTGCGGTTGCACCACGTGTGAGAGAGAGATAGTCAGCCTGTTCAAAACGTCGAGCCACTCCCGCCACATATCCTCTACAACCGGCGCTATAGTTCTCCTTAGAACTATAAGCTAAGAAACGGATAACCAACAGTCCTTTTCAAGACTACACCAACAGTCCTTTTCAGGACTACACACACTCAAGAAAGAAAAATTATCGAAAGTCCTTTTCAGGACTTCCCAATCCTCTCTCTCTCTCTCTCTCTCTCTCTCATGGTGCAACCACAAGCCCACTGTATATCTACATCACCATGCAAGCCGATACATATAAGCAGCATCTAAGAAACATATCGGTTTTAATGCAATAAACAGTCCGAAAATACATTATTTACATCGTTTTCATTTGAATTTAGGCAACAAGTTTTCAATCCTTTTATATGTTTTGTCCATTTTTGTTGCTCTTCTACGCTTGCCAAGCCTTTATTGTACTATGTTGTTACTATTGTGTAATGGTTTTCTCCCTTAATCTTTTGCATGTCAATGATTTATAATGTGTATATATTGGCCCCAGATCACACTTATGACACCTAAGCGTATTTCATCTTTTCTTCTTAATTCCAGCGGGTACGATAGACCCACCGCAGTACTTCGTTGCCTCGCGCTCCAAGCTTTGTCGATATCCCATCAACTTTCCTGACATTGCTTTCCCCATTGTCTCAAACTTTAATGTATCCTGCTTCTTAGAGGGGCGGAGCCATGCCGTAGCTATCGCCGTCGATTTGGAAGACGGAATCGTGTTCTTCAGTGACTTAGGAATAAAGGGAATAGGAATGGCCACCCTCAGAGATGGTGCACCGGTGAAGATTATCACGGGTGGGGTACGGGCTGTACAAGGTATAGGACTGTAATCTATCTCATAATGGCAAGCCTACTATCATTGTTATCATCAGCACTTTCATCTTAATCGTCATCATTTGATCGCCATCATCATCATGATCATCATTATCGTTATTATCATCCTTATCGTTATCACTACCATCATCATTATCATCATCATCATCACTTTCATCATCATCATTATCCTCATCATCACGAGCATCATTACCACCATCATAATCACCATCACCACCAACATCATCACATATCATCGAACGATAGAAAATAATATTTATGTTCTAATTCCCATGTCATTGTAGGCTCATAAGATTATAATTTCGAATCTTAAACCACAACATACAGACGCTTTATTGAATTCTATTTTGGTGAAGAACAAAGATAGTTGGCTATGAGGTTTTATTCGACGACCAGCAGAATTCTTAACGTTTCCCCCTAAATCAGTGTATGCTTAGTATGTTATCTATATGGACTTTTATAAATCGTGTACATGACTATTCAGTATAAAAAAAATGGGCGCCATTTTTCTCAAAATCAACATGATCCAGGGCAGTCCTTAGATTGGCACGTTTGCTTTCATTACATTTTCCTTCAGGTTTAGCCGTAGACTGGATGACGAAACACTTGTATTGGACGGACCATGCCAGGGGTACCATTGAGGTGTCCAAGTACGACGGATCTTACCGAACAACACTCATCAAGGACAATGTCATCAAGCCTAGGAGCATTGCCATCGATCCAGAGAGAAAGTAGGTTATTTTTATAATTCACGGCGTTTTACTTAACACTTGTTGTCAGTAAATTAGAAACGTGTATTTAGAGTGACAACAATCTTTCCTTTGGGGAAAGGCGTGCTTGAAATGTTAATATTCATGCTGATGTTCTTCACAGAAAATAGTGTTTGCATGCCTTAAGTGTTATATAATTTGGAGACTATGGTATTAAATCAAATGGAGTCTATATAATATCAAATAAAAAATGAGTTCATGTAACATCTCATTTGACGATGTTGACATTAACATTTCTCGTCAAACCAGGGAAAGCGATACGAGGTTTGGTGGATCTGATCATTACACTTGATACTTTATACACCATTAATAATGGATAATAGCGAATAGCATTTGCTGGAAAAGATATTTTTACATAAGCCAAGGGCTGGCTAAAATACAATTTAACCTAGGTAGTGAAATGTCTTTAGGCAGGTATTCACAAAGAGCACGCTAACTTTATTCTAGGTGTGCACCCCGACGAAAGTGAACGGAGTGCCAAGCGTCAACATTTTAATCAAGTAGAAATTACCATAATTCTGTGACGAAATGAACACAATGATGTCATCATGAATTACTAGATTAATTTCATGTATTCAGATTGTAAACAAATAACTGTAATTCATATAAAAGAAAAATAGTGACATCTGAAGCTCTTTACATCAGTAGCCTAGATAGACCGGGTTAAACCAGGGAGGTGAGCTCGCCCTTTGTGAGTACAAGCCCTTTTGTTTATGTCGTTGCAACAGGTACATCTTCTGGACTGAATTTGGCCCACCTACCCAGATCGAGCGTGCTTCGCTGGATGGAACTGAACGTGTCGTCATAATGACGGCGCCACATGGTCTGCCATTCTTTGTCCCCACTGGGCTAGCTATCGACACAGAAGAACAAAGGTATAATCAGGAGAAAAAAATTATGAAAATATCGAGCGTTTTACTCAAAAATTTATTTCGTAAAACAAAATATGTGTCGTTTTTACAGATGTTCATTCCATAACAGATATCTATCTATTTATCATTCTTTTATACATATTCACTGAGTGACAAAGAAATCTTCAATTTCATTCAAATTATCAATTTTAATAAAACATGTTTACTAATTACAAACAAAAGCCATTACTTTTCTTTAAGAATTAGTTTACCTTTGTCTATATTCATTAATCCAAGTCTGAACGCAGTAACTGATAACTTTTTAAACCGCTATAGAAGTAATAGACCTTCAGACTTGACCTGAAATTATCCTTTTAATCTAGTCATCTACCATTCAATAATTGGTTTAGTCATGTGATATCTCCTGAGATATAAATAGAAAATGACTGCTGATCTAATATCACATCTTCTCCAACTTGTGTGTACTAGGTTGTACTACGCAGATCTTTCAACTCGTACTATCAATAAAGTCGATTATTTCGGGAACAATAAGAGACAGCTACTGAGGAAAAATGGTGCCATCTTCTTCGATGTTGCTCTCTACAAGGTAGAAAATGCATTTGCCACAGATTTCTGTTTTCTCTAGTTATCACACTTAAAAAATGTAGACCTACATGTGTAGTTCGATATGGTTCGTCCGAAGACCGTAGTTTATGATAAGAGCATACTTTGAAATGCAATCGTCGCTGTCGTTGTCAGATATGAAATAAGGTCACGGGAAACAACTGATTTAGGCTTGTTATACGCTTTCGTATATCAGTACATGCAGTTGTAGACTTTATCATGGATTTCAACATCTAGTAAGCACACGCCATAACCTCTTCGTGTATATAATGAAAGGACAGTCCAACCTTTAACATAAGTTCATTTCTATGAAACAAGAACATTTAGGACTAAAAGAATGGTTTGAAGTATTAAAGTCGGACCGATTATGAAAAAGTTATGAGTGTTTGAAATGTGAGAGCTCAATCTATGCGACTCTCAAATTAACAATTTGGTATTTGAAATGTGACAGATGCAGGGACAACTCTCCCGTTTCCCGTTTACTAACTACTTTCTGTTTTTGGGGCATTACGAAAAATATATTATAGATAGCATATTAGTATAGGCCCTCTAAAACGAAAGACCCTTTTGAGTGATGCGTTTAAACAAGAAACCCGAGGGGAGGGTGGATCACCTATGAATCGCATATTTCATGACGGTATTACCGGTTTTCTTCTAGGACTACATTCTATGGACGGAGCTTGGAGGAAACAATGGTATCTACGCAAGCAACCGCCACACTGGAGAGATAGAACTAGTGTATCATAACCGAGGAGAGCAGGTGTATGGCATTACAACTTACGCGGACACCCGTCAGAAGATCATGCATCGTAAGGCAGCTCAACAAGTCTTATACCTAAAGGCCCGGTCACACAGAGGGGACGCATGGGGAACGCACGGCCAGCGCATTGGAAATTTGCAATTTTGGCCAGTGCGTTGTCGTGCGCCCAACTTTTGTCGAAGCTACAGCGAGTTGAAACCAAATGCATAGCGTATTGCTAGCGCGCTGAGCGCATACAGGGCGCATACAGTGCGCATACAGACCGTACATAGAGCGCACATGATAACAACTTCCACGAATGCACAGCGTGTTGCTAGCGCGCTGGACGAATGGTCCACGCACGCACCGCGTTCTCAACAGAGGTGGTCACACATATACAACGCACGGCCCGCGCATTGGAAATCGGAAAAGGCCGTGTGCCTAACTTTTGTCATGATTTTGGAAAAGCTAGCGAGCTGACACAAAATGCACAGCGTGTTGCTAGCGCGCTGTGCGTATACAGGGCGTGTACTCCGCGTATGTCCGGCGCTGGTCTAGCGCGCTCCGCTCATGTCTGGCGTGCCTTTGGCGTGTACATTCATGCGTCGAGCTCAGCGCACACTTTTGAGCATGCTCACAAAATCCCGACGCACACAGCGAATGACGACGAATGCACATCGTGGGTCCAGCGCGCTCGACGAACGAGTAACGAATGATGACGCACGCCTAGCGAACGACAACCCACTGGCCAAAATTGCAAATTTCCAATGCGCTGGCCGTGCGTCCCCCATGCGTCCCCTCTGTGTGACCGGGCCTTTACCGACCAAATATAAGAATTGTATAATATACTACATAGCATATAATACATTCTAGGCCTACGTTCAATTTCAGAAAATGATAAAACACCTGACATTTCGTGTAATATATGGCGTCTCATTTAGTCCTCATTATTTTATCTTCTTCTAAGATCCATGTCGTTACCAGAACGGAGGATGTGATCAGCTGTGTCTCAGCTCATCTTCTAGTCGACGAGGATTCGTGTGTGTTTGCACTCTCGGGTTCTACTTGGCTGACGATGGAAAATCTTGTGTGTCAGGTAATATTGTCCAACATTTCTTTGCATATATGTTAGCATTATGCAGAATTGCTTTTAGGTTGGTCATAAAATATAAACATCATATACCCAATAATAATTTGCTCTTCCTTTGTACTCCCATCCCCGAAATATGTATCTGATTGCACCAGCTATATGATCTACACAGTACACAGCTGTGATGTTTTACAGCCTACGTTTAAACATCTCCATAAAACATGTTACATTATATATATATATACTACTGTCATAATGATTTGTATATGTCGTTGTATTTATAGACCTTGTCCGAGACAACTTCTTTCTGGTCACGGACACCTATCGACGAGCCATCTTTCAGGTCGATATGCAATCCACCACCTTCGAACCCAAAGCCTTGTTCCTTCCAAGCATTCAGAACCCTATAGCGGTGAGCTTTGATCCCATCGACAGGAAGGTCTACTGGACTGACGTGACTTCCAAGACACTCAGCCGTGCCTCGTTGGACGGCAACGACTACCAGGTCATTGCTAGGGATGGTATTGAAGGTAAGTTCGTTTTTTTTCCTATATCACAATCTCGCAGTGGATTAGCCCTAGATAGGCCTTGCATCTGTATTAACCCCTTCATATTTACATGTAATTTCATAGATAGTATGTACCGCTATTCATTCCAGGTTTAAGTTTTTTCCGTAAAATGTTGACGTCTTTTGTCATGATTATTTGTAGGTACATATTTTACCCGTTTTTCCATTAGATTGAAAACTTAAATGGAACTAAAAAGATGAATTTAATTTAAATTGAATATAGCATATTTACATGTATATCAATTTAACAGATCCGTGGTGTGAAACCCACTTGATATTTATGTATAATGACAAAAGAGTAATACAAATCAACGGGGTAATGTCATTTTTTGTCCGGTTGTTGTCGGTCTCGTTCTTATGACTGCGGTGTAACATAAAAAAAGTGATAAAATCATATAGTTGAAAACACAAAATGCTCTCTTTATCCATTTATTTCTCTCAGTTCCCGATGGCATTGCCGTAGACTCCATTTCCAGGCTTGTGTACTGGACAGACTATGGCACCCATGGCATCTCTGTATCTCACCTGGACGGATCAAACAGGAAGATGCTGATTCGAGGCTTAGAAAAGCCTAGAGCCCTTGTGTTGCATCCCGTGGAAGGGTAATAAACCTTATCCTGGGTGTTTAGAGACTGAATAATAATATTTCATAATACTCTGATGCTAATTATTTAAGATATTTGGTATTACTTGCATAATTTATTGAATATTTATGCTGCACAAAACGTACGACCAACCGGTACAGGGCTCTGAAAATCAGACTATTACTTATATGATTGCAATCACTTAAGTCGATTCGACAAGTAATGGTCGTTATTTTCCACCAAAAAGCCATTTTCAAGCCCTTTCGTTTTGAGAAAAGTTCTAAATTAGTATTGTCTTTCAAATGCCGTTGGAATTTAATCTTCTCATTTTGGGGCCTGCAAATGAGACACAGTGGAGATTGGTGGTATACTGCCTTCAACCTATTAAAGTTCGACCACATGATATACGCTAGAAAAGCATGTGCTATAATTTCCTCTTGGAACTTGGAAGTGTTATCCATATGTATCTTTCATGTCGATTTTCGATAGTCAATAGAATCATTGTTTCATCTAATAACCAGGACAATGTTTTGGACAGACTGGGGTGACAATGCCGTCATTGAACGAGCTTTCATGGACGGAACAGAGCGATCAATAATTGTGTCTGGATCACTGGTATGGCCAAACGGACTCACGATCGACTATGATGGTAAGTACACCTTCAAATTAACAATGACGAATGCTATCCTTTAAATTTAAAGAACGCTCTCAAAACTAAAATGTTAAATATAGCCATTTTAAAGGACCAAGGATTAACCCTTTCTCTCTCTTCCAAATGATAGATTAACACTTTGAACATTTGTTTTGTTTTGAAAGTTATTTTTTTGTTCATTCAATGCACAAGAAATAATAGCAGAATTATAATGTATATATAATTTGTCATAATATTAGAATATATTGGAGTTATATTACCCTAATATAAATGAAAAATATAATAAAAAATCGCAACTTTCCATTTTTACATCTCAAACTATTACAAATGCATAACAAAGTATATATACGTTTAGCTAATAATTGTCACAGAAACATAACATAATTATATACAGTTGTAAGTAATTACTAATTTATATTGTGCTCTGAATGAATACTATGTCCAAGAAAGAGCCTCGTGCACACGCACACACGAACACACACACACACACACATGCTCACACACTCAGACACACATACAATCTTACCTATCCCCCCATACCCAAAGCTTCCCAAACTTCACAAATCCCCCTCCCTTCCCGAACACAGCCACATCCACACAACCGTTGGAAATCCATGCTGGGTCCCAAACAATACAGTTTGAATTTAGCAAATTAAAATTGTTAATTTTACATTTTTAGAAGGTGGTCACTCCGCGGTCCTTTTAAATGGTGATTTAAAATTTTAGTTGATAGAGTGAATCGCTACTTCGTCACGACTCGCGAACTTTGCAATGGAATCCATGAATAAAAAAAAAATGTAATTCCCATTTCATGTCTATAAAACAAAAGTATCTTAGCTCTCAATTAATAAAATAAACTGTAATGCATCATCCTCTTTTAATAAATTTATTTCAATTGTGTAAATTACGTTAATTAATGTTACTCGTCATTATGTAAATTGTAATGCAAGGGTATAACACTGTTGTCTTTCATATTAGCTTTGCACTTGATACTCTTCTGAAACTAAATTTCGAACAATCGTATCTAGAACGTAATAACAATAAACACACAACCTCTGAAGTGCTCTTTTTCAAAGAATCTGAAAAAACTACGTATCAGCAATGCCCTTTAACTTTTTGAGACATCCATAATACATTTGTTAAAGTGGTGACGGAAGAATAATGTATTGCCATGATTTGTTTGAGAAAAGATGAGTTACGAACTTCCCCTCGTTCCTGTAACATCACTTTGTAGCTACATTCCACGAGACGATAGCCCACGAGACTGACATAGTAGTGGTATTGTGGACCTTCTGACAGCTTTCATAAAGATTCACTACCACGAACATGTCGGTCTCGTACGCTGTCGGTCTACTATATGTCCCAACATGATTTTCTCTTGAATGAACTGCCTCTTTGTCAGGTAATCGGCTATACTGGTGCGACGCTGGTCTTGAGCGACTGGAGACGGCTGATTTTAACGGTCGTGACCGCCGTCTTCTCTTTACGTTTGGACGTAACGTCCATGCCTATGACGTGGCTGTACGTGGTCAGTTTCTATACTGGACAGACTGGACAATGCAGAGTGTCCTCAAGATGGATAAAGACACTGGTAGCGGTATCGCGACAGTAGGACCCAATGATTACCTCAGACCAAATGGAATATACATGGTGTCCGACGATACTCTGCCATCAGGTATAACTACTCTCATTTTTTGTCCTTCCATTATTTACTTAAAGTAGATCTGTCTATTAAATCCTGCTTCACCTAATAGACAAGACAAGATTGGGAATGATGAACATGATGGAGCTCCTTATAACGTGCTCAGATAGAGAAACAGCAAGATCATAATTGAATACAAATGTTTAAGCAAATGACAAGTATCGAATCAAGTGCCAAACAAGACATGCTAAATAGCACTCTATTAAGGTTTATGATTAAAGGTATTACAAAGTTTTGGTATGGGGTCATGAATTTGGTTCAAATTAACAATTTCGGAAGCATATGCGTTCCTAAAATATTTATTGATCGTTGTCGCGGTTGAAATCGAGTCTAAAGTTGTGAAATTATAATTAATAAACTCTTTATGTTGTATAGCTCCCTCTCAAGGTCAAGATATCAATTTAGCTATGAAACAATGTTTCTTGACTAAAATCGACCGATTAGCTATTCCCGTTTGGAAATTATGTATCATAACTACATATTCTGAGATTTTCATGGTCGCAGCTACCATTGTACGGCCAAAGGCGCTATTTGAAATTTATAAAAATTTACCGGGAGCACCGGTAAATTTTTATATTCAATTTTTCTCGAAAACAGAAGAGTTTTAGGGGCTAATTTTTTTAGTGATTACAATACATCTACAGGGGCATCCAAATATAAAAAATTGTAAAGATTCACTATCCACCCATTTTTCAAAATTTCCCAAAACTTTGTATTACCTTTAAGAAAATGAAAAGAAATTTCCGTTCTCTCTTTGTTTCTAGCACTTAAGCTTTAAACCCTTCTTAAGACTTAAAACATATTTTGAGCCTTGACATTTATTTAACTAAATATACGATAATTTTTTTTTAACGAAATTGACTTCTTCAAATAGATCTTTGAAAATTTAAAAATTCGCACCAATCAGATTGTTTGTAGGGGTTATCATGCATGCGCGCGCAGCTCAAAGTTAATCGTATTGGACTTATTAAAAATGAAATACATTAGTCTTGAATATTAAGTATTTTTAGGGGTTTTACAATCTTAAGTTTTAAGGACTTAAAATAAGTATTATAAATCAAGAAGGTATTAGAACTGCAATCCGAGCTCGCTGTTATTCGTTTTAGTGAGAGTGACAAATTAAAGTTTCAATTTATTTGTTAAAGATGACGATAAATTGCACTGGTTGTCCGAAAAACAGTGGCGGAGCGTTTCAGACCTTTCCACAGCCACCATGCAAAGTGTACTGTGTATAGAGGATACAAATGTTTTTTCTTCATCTCCATTCCAGGTGACAACCAGTGCTCAATTGACAACGGAGGGTGCACAGGACTTTGCCTTCCAGTCGGCTTTGATCGTAACTGCACATGCGCAGATGGATTCCAATTTGATGAGGAAGGAACAACTTGTGTCCCAGGTAATTAGTAATGGTTCAAGAGGGCGCTTGAGGGGATGAATCCCCCTATTTTCTTCATTATAATTGAACCTGGGGAGGCACATGTGGAAAATTAATGCCAGAAACCACAAGGCTCTTAATCCCCTTCCCCCCCAAAAATGCCCTTGCCGAAAATGCAAAGATCCTGCTTCAATTTGGAATTTGCGAAATATATCTATCGGAGTGAATCCGCGTAGAATATACTTTTCGTTCGTTTTTTTAATGCTCTTGAAATTGATTACTTCCGTATTGCTCTTTTCTTTGTATTTTTTCTTGAATATTGAATATAGAATTTATATTATGTAATTGCCACTACCCATCTATGTCGAGCAAATGGTAAGTTAAAGGCACAGTGTCCTACTTGTAGCTACTTGCTCCCTCTATATAGAAAACTTCCCCAATTTGTGCCTGTTGGTCCCCCATGATCCTCTTTTTCTTATGTTAAATGAGAGCTGAGTTAATGAGATAGCCACCTGTCACAGTGACCTCGCTGGCTCGCTGTGTGGTCTAATCCCTTCTGGCTGAAGTAGTAAAGCCTCCCTTTAAGCTACGGTCACAAAGGTTCTTTCGAACAATGCATTCGTACGAATCTCCCTGTTCGTACGAATTTTAGAGTTCGTAGAGATTCGTAGATGGGGCATAGATTCTTTTTACGTCGTTCGTACGAACGCAGTTTAATTCGCAAGAACAACTTAAGACCTCCTTGAGAAACGAAGTGGTTTTCGGTTATACAATGGCCCTAGAGTTCGTACGTTTTCCGTAAGAATGCCTTGAGTTCTTCTGACCTCAGACTTTCGGCCATCTTAAGACTTTTGTTATCGCAAGATGGTCGTACGTGAAACTCGCGGTATTCTCAAGTCACTCGTACGAAGATTTTCGATATTTGTGTATATGTTGTCGGGTTGCATAACCTTTCTTCGTAAGGTGGCCGTTCGAACGTCGTAAGAACTTCGTAAGCACCACGAAAGATCTTCGAACATTTCGTAGGGTCGAGAAACAATTCTAGAAGCCTCAAATTCTTACGAGTACCTTACGAGTTCCTTACGAACGCCTTACGAACACCAGGAGTCGTTCGTACGAAAGTCATACGAATCTCCGTTCGTAAGGCGTTCTTACGAACGCTGTAATAGCTCTCTATGTTGTTGTTGTTGTGTTTTGAGTTATTGGCGATTAGTCAGTGATTTGACTATTGTCGCCAAATTACTTTACGGCACGTGTTATATCTCTTAATTTTGGATTTTTTTAAAAATACATTTATTTCGTTTTATATTTATCTATCTTTTAAGATAGTATCGTAAAATAATATCGTAAGCAAAACATTCATGGGCTTTGTTAGTGTTTCTTAACAGTACGTGCAGATTATTTGTTATATCACATACACACCATACATAAATATGTATATAAGATAGCACCTACACAAGCTTCTATATTCAGTAATCTTATCATACCTTTTATCATTGTTGTTACTTTTTCTTATTTTATTTTCTTAATACATTATGTTATTATATTTTTAATGTACTGAGTGTAATTTAACATATTTATAATATCGTATTATGTTTTACTGTTCTTATTTTATTTTCTTATTACATTATGATTGTTATTATATTTTTAATGTACTGAGTGTAATTTAGCATATTATAATATTGTATAATGTTTTACTATTCTTATTTTATTTTCTTATTACATTATGTTATTATATTTTTAATGTACTGAGTGTAATTTAACATATTTATAATATTGTATTATGTTTTACTGTTCTTTTTTTATTTTCTTATTACATTATGTTATTATATTTTTAATGTACTGAGTGTAATTTAGCATATTTATAATATTGTATTATATTTTACTGTTCATCAAGGGAGGTATTACTTCCTGATAGGGAACCGTTTCGTTCTGAGAAAGAACCGTACAATAGCTTTTTGTATACTGGACTCACTCTTTTTTAAGTATTCCATAATTTTTTCAGGTTGGGATTCGTTAATTTCTGTTAGAAACATAGCCCTTTCTATAATATAGTTAGGGCAATGTACTAAAAAATGTTTTACAGTCTCTATTTCACTGGGGCATCTATTACAGAAACCAGTAGCATGAATTCCCAATCTGAGGAGATCCTGGTTAAGTCCAAGGACTCCAAAGCGGAGTCGATGTATTATTGTTGAATGTTGTCTCTCTAATGAGCATATATATGGTTTATTAACATCTTTTTGATATGTTTTCAAATACGAGTTGGTTTTGTTCCACCTTTCTTGCCAAAGGAGTTTGGAACTTGTAGTAATTAAGCTTTTCATTTCTGACATATTTAGGTTATTATTGACTTCTATTTTCTTTACTAATGCGGCCTTTGCGTGGAAATCCGCCATCTCGTTCCCTTTTATTCCACAATGTCCAGGTATCCACTCTACATATATATCAACTCCTTTATTCTTTAAGTGAGTAGTCATGGTGAGAATTTCCAGAATAAAAGATTCGTCCTTCTGTTGTTGTAATGCAATAAGTGCACTCAGTGAATCACTAAAAATAACAACCCCCACATAAATGTCTAATTCATCTACCCATCTGAGAGCAAGAATGATGGCAGCCAATTCAGCCCTGTACGAAGAGGTGAAATTTGCTAACCTTTTGCTCCGATGTACAGAATAGTAAGGGACGTAAAAAGCAGCTGCAGAGGTCCCTCTTTCAGGTACTTTTGATCCATCGGTGTATATATGTAATTGAGTCGCCCATTTAGTATGTATGATTTCCAGGCTGCTTTGTTTTTGTTGTGTAGGATGATCTGTTTTCTTTATTCGAGTACTTAATTCCGTTGACACTGCCGGAGGGTAGAATAACCATGGTGGAAATGGGGAGTAGGTTATCGTTTCTATACGTTTTCCCAGCTTGCTTTGTATTCTATATCCAAAAGGTTTGTTTACGTTTTTCCCCTTCAAGTATTCAAAATGCCAACATGGTTCAATGTTTTTTAACAACGGATGATTCGCCCATCTTTCGATGTTTTGTCTATATTTACTTGAAAGCATTTGTCTTCTTATATCCAAAGGCATTTCCCCCATTTCCACCTGTAGTGATTCTAAGGAGGTTAATGGCAGCCCACCTGCGCATATCCTCAGTGCTTGGTATTGGACAGAGTCAATGGCTTTTTTGGTGGTAGCAGCTGCACTGTCATACGCCTCACATCCGTAATCAAAAAGAGACCTTATAATTGCTCTGTACACCATGATAAGTGATTTCGAGGAACTTCCCCAGTTTGTTCCAGTTAGACATCTTAAGATATTTAATTTTCTTTTACTTCTCGTGATTACATTTTCGATATGTGGTTGCCAAGTTAACCTTTTATCAAATATAACCCCTAAAAAGCGATGAGATTTTTCGTACATTAACACATTTCCATTCAGTTCTATATCAGGCGGTAGAACGGCATTCCAGCTTTTCGTAAAAAGTACGGGCACTGTTTTGACAGGTGAGAGTCGAAACCCCCACTCTTCAAACCAACGATTTAAAAGATTCAAATATTTCTGTATTTTTTCAGTAATATGTACAATGTTCCTGCCTGATATCCATATTGCGCAGTCATCTGCATACATAGATATGCTTACATCTTGGTCTGTAGGTATATCACCCATCATTATATTATATAAAAGAGGACTTAAAACACTCCCTTGTGGTAACCCGTTATGCGTTTTATAAGTTTTAGATTCTGTATTTCCAATTCGTACTTGAAAAGTTCGTGCTGTTAGATAATTTTCTATATATCTCAGCATGTTCCCTTCTATTCCATTTTTTGCTAATTTAAAAACCAGACCCTTTATCCAAACTGTATCGAAAGCCTTTTCGACATCCAAGAAAACCGCTATTACATGTTCATTACAATTTATACTCTTTTGGATGTCATTTTCTAATTGTACAATATTGTCCGTCACACTACGACCTTTCCTAAATCCACTTAAAAAATTGGGTAATAATTCATGCTTTTCAACATACCATTGTAATCTTTCTTTTATCATTCGTTCAATTATTTTGGCAAAACATGATGTTAAAGAGATTGGTCTATATGACGATGTATTTCTGGGATCTTTTCCATGTTTGAGAATAGGGATTATTATAGAATGCTTTAGTTGAATTGGAATTTCCCCGGTTTTCCATATTAAGTTAATAATGTTCAGCATGATTTCCTTGTTTGCTTTTGGCAGATTTTCATAAACAACGTAAGGTATATTATCTTTTCCTGGGGCAGTCTTTTTTCGCGATTGCACTGCCTTTTCAAATTCTGTTATAAAAAAGGGTTCATTTATAACATGATCTACATTTAAAATATGAATGTCATTATTTGGTGCCTTCGGTAATTCCTTATTAGTATCCCTGTCTTTTATTCCTATTTTTTGAAAGTAATTTCCAAAGGCATTTGCTTTTTCCTGATCGGAGACAATATCTTTACTATTTACAATCAATGTTGACATATTTTTTGTTTTTTTTATTAGTACACCATTCAGCCGTTTTATACAAGCCCAGATCTTAGATTCTGGCATATACTGATCAAGCTTTGTGCAAAATGCTCGCCAGTAATTTCGTTCTGCTTGGCGGAGCACACGCTGTGCTTCTGCTTTCTTTTTTAAGTACTCATCTACCTTTTCAAAAGTTATTTTCCGTGACATCTTATTACACATTCTATTTCTCTCTTTGATTTTCTCTGTACATTCTTTGGTCCACCAAGGCACCGGATTTTTAGAGACATTTCTCCTTTTCGGTACAGTTTCTTTTATACACAGTTTTAAATATTTCATGAAATTATCATATATTTCCTGTATATCATTATTTATAAGTATGAGATCATTTGTAATCATCTCTTCACATTTCTTAGCAAATTTTTTCAAATTTATATGTTTAAAGGAGATAAAATCATCTGCACTTCTTATTGAAGCATCTTTATATTCAGAGCTTTTCCCGTCTAAAGTTGTTTGGATATTTATTGGGAAGTGATCACTTCCAAAAAGGCTTTCCATGACTCTCCAAGTACTTCTACATGCCAGTGAAGGAGTGGTTATACATAAATCTAAGCATGACAGTTTTCCTGTTCGTGGATCCAGTCTGGTTCCTTCGCCATCATTCAAAACAGTTAGATTATGATGATTCACGAATTGTTCTATCACTTGTCCATTCTTGTCTGTTTTGTCACTTCCCCACATGGTACCATGAGCGTTAAAATCGCCTACTATAATAACTTTATCATTTTTATTAACGTCTTTTAATAGCACATTCATAATATATTCATTTAATTTCTTACAAGGATTATAAAAGTTCACAATTGATAACTTTTCATTTCCTGCGTGTATGTTTACTTGCTGCATTTCTAAATTTACATCATTCATTGGACCTTCATACTTGATTTTATTATGAACGTATATCGCACATCCTCCCCTCGCCTGATTTTCCCTATTTCTTGGGAGACATGTGTATTCAGGAATTTGAAGAACTCTATTTTCCTGAAACCATGTTTCTTGTATACATATCAAATCATAGCAATGTTTGTGTGTGTTCAAATACTTTATAAGTTCTTTTCCATGCCCTAGTAATCCCTGTGCATTCCATTGTAGTATGGAGAACAGTATCATCAATGTTTTAAGTATCGTTATCAACATTGTTAGCACTACTTATTTGCTGCAGCGATCTTTTCGCTGCGACCAGAACTAAATTATTTATTTCTTTAAGAGTTTTGCCCTCTGTGAGTGAGAGGATCAATTGACATATAAAGTCAATTATCTGATCATCATTTGCTGTAGCTATAAAGTTCGTGGTTACAGAAGGATTTTCTTTCTTTTCATTGTCTTTTTTTGAAGTGATTGTTGTGGAGTTTGTTGATGTTGTTGAAGGATTTTGTGGGATTTTTCGAGGGATTTTCGAAGGATGTTTTGAGGTTGTTCGAGGTGGTAAGACATTTTGAGTTTGTTGGGTGCTGGTGGTTACGGGAGGTACGTTTTGTGTGGTTGCAGCGATGGCATATGAGCCAGGTATCGTATCTCTTGTTTTAATTTGTGTGTTTTCTTGTTCCTCTTTCCTCATTTGGGAGGTTTGTGTGACAATGTTAGTTTGAGGGGTATTTTGTTTATTTGTCCATATTTGTGATGCTTGTGCATATGTGATTTTTTCTGTGATTTTGATGTGTTGTACTTGTTTAGCTTTTTTGCTTGTGTGCAACCATTATATGCAGCAGAATGCTCGCCTCCGCAGTTTACACATTTCGGGGTGTCTTTTTTGGCGCACTCCTCAAACTTGTGGCTTTCACCACATCTAACGCATCTCATGTTAGACCGGCACTCTGCTGCCCCATGCCCAAATCTTTGGCACTTGAAGCACCTGACTACTTTGGGAATGTATAATTTTACCAACTTTATTTGGTAGCACATCCTTATCGATGTTGGTAGAGTGGATGTACTAAAGGTCAGGATGACGCTTGTTAGAGGAATCTGCTTTGATTCGTTTGTTTCCATTTGATCTTTATCTTCTCCATTCTTCACCCTTTTTGTCATTCTTTTAACCGCTGTTACCTGTTGCGTTCTTAATTCAGACAAAATTTCTTCCTCGGTCATTTCTATTGGAATGGCGTAAATTACCCCTTTGGCGCCTCTTGCACCCTCGGTCACTTTGACGGGAATATTCCCTATATTATCCAACTGTAGGATTGCTCGAACTTGTTTTATGTTCTTACACTTAACTAGTAATCCAGAGCTAACAGGTTTTATGAATTCCACGGGACTAACACACACATCTTTAATCGCTCGTGCGATTTTTATGGGACTCATATTTTTTAAAGATTTATGTTTGTCTATTGGGGTAATGAACAGTTTGAAATCTGTTTGCTTTGGATCTTTGCCAGGAGAAGGGGTTTGATAAACCGTGGTGTTTGAGTCTGATTCTGATGTTTTAGTGTTTAAGTTTTCTACCGCTACACTTTCTTCTCGTCTTCTTTTTTGATTAGGTTCTCCTTTCCTAGGTCGATTATGAGTAACAACTCTGAACACGTCATCACTTTCACTTCTCACAGACAGTTCCGGCTCAGAGAGAGCCGAAGCCGTCGCCATGATTGGCCTCCCAGAAAAGGCGGGAAATTTGAATGCCGTCGCACGTGCTATACTGTTAGAAGGTGCAGGATTGTGTTAGAAGCCCACAAAATAATTGCTTACCTACAGAAATAATCCAAATTCATAAATCTTTCCAAATGCTACCATTTGAATTCCAAAGTACGTTTCAAAGATAATTCCAAATATTTCGGTATATTCCGAGAGAGAACCAAAGACACGTCCGTCACACGTGGCAAACCTGAACAACTTAAGGTGTCTTTACGATCATCGTAATTATTTAAGGCTTCTAGAATTTTCTCTCGACCCTACGAAATGTATGAAGATCTTGCGTGGTTTTTACGATGTTATTACGACTTTCATATGGCCGCCTTACAAAGAGAGGGTTCCGCACGAGGTTGGAAAAAATCTTGAACGAGACCATCGACCAATCTGCGAACTTAGGAATGGTCTAGGAACGCTGGTTTAGTACGGCCTTCTTAAGAAGATCTTACGAAATCGTCTGAAAATAGTTCGTACGGCGTTCGTAGCAGCTCGTAATGGTATTTGTGACCGAGGCTGTAGTAGGAAAGGATATCCTAGATATTGAGAGCACCGTTATCGCTAGACTAGCTACAGCCATGGTAGACATTCATTCCGTATTTTATCATTCCTCCGTTAATTCCCACAGATCAAGTTACTGAATGTCCACGGGTCTTTCACAATGGTTTTGTTGACGAATCATGCGACCCGCGGCCAGGACACGTTTGTGATGTCCAGTGTCATCCAGGTTTTTCCCCTTCTTCGGATGCCATCATCTGCCAAGCATCTGGGACATGGGACCTTGACGTCAGCAGAATTTGCATGGGTAAGTTATCCATGTCTGATCCATATCGGCATATTAGAGCACACACTAATATTTAAATAATACTTTGAACTTTCTAATGCTATCTACCATCTTATTTTGTAGATAATTGTTGTCATATTTTCATATCATACACGACAGAGACGATCCCAATTACTTTCGATAAATCAGCTCAAGGACAATTTCAATGACCTATTGTCTGTCCTATAGAATTCATGTTCGGATTACGTAATACGTCATTGTCATGTTCATACATTCAACAGGTGACGCACACTTAAGGCCCGGTCACACAGCCTTTCGCGTCTGTATCGCGGGTAAAATTTCGCGATTTTTTTTTTGCCCGCGGTTGCCCGTGGTGGAAAAATGTGCAAAATTGGCTTACCCGCGGTTTACCCGTGGTATGCCCGCGGAACAGACGCCGGCGACTGTTCCGCGTCCTTATCGCGGGTGAAGCGCGGCGGTACCGCGGCCTACCACGCTTACACGCGGTACACACGCTAATGCACGTGATAACAACGCGGTACAGACGCGGAACAAACGTGCTATGACCGTGCTCCACCCGCGATTACCCGCTAAAATTTCGCGTCCAATTCCGCGTGTAACCACGTCTTAACCGCGGCCGTAGCACGTCCTAGCACGTTCGTTCCGCGTCTGTACCGCGTCTTTACCGCGTCTTTACCGCGTGTGTACCACGTGTACCGCCCGCGATTACCCGCGGTCTAAATTTTTGGGCAGCCCAAAACTTTTTCGCGCGGCCAACCGCGTGTGAATTTCTTACCGCGTGTAACGACGGGTAAAGTACGGCTGTATCGCGTCTTTATCGCAACCTCAAAGCGTCCAACAGCGTCTGCTTCACGGGCAGAAATTTTTGGCCGTGATTCGGCCGCGATACGCCCGTGGGAGGGCTGTGTGACCGGGCCTTAAGGTTGATTATTTCGAAAGTAGAAGTTATCGTCATGATTGTGTTAATCAAAAACAAGCTCAATTGTTTACAAACACTTTTATGTCAACGGGGCGATGTTTATTTTAATAGGAACTTTTAGATTTGCGTGGACTGATACGTGTGACGTTCATTCAAGGCAGTGCATTAACCCTAATAAGGCCGGGGGGGGGCATCATGGCTCTCCCCTCCACGATTTTTCTGATTGTTCGGGAACGCATATCGATGGCGCCCCGCCGCTCGCTGACTTTTTTCTTTTGAGTCTTGCGCAACTTTTAAAAGATTTTTTTTGAAAATCGGACCTACGGTTACAAGGTCACGTGACCTTTTGTTTTAGCATGTCAGCCCGAAAATCGCTCATTTTCGTGATTTGTGTACAAAACATATGGAAAAGTCATTTTTCCTAAAAATAGATCAAACATAGGTTATTGGGTCTTGTTTAAAGTTTAGGTGGTTGTGCACATTTTCGCGGAGATCGGCCGCTTCACGGCCGAGAATAAGACCTCAAATAACCCGGCCTTTTTAGGGTTAAACGGACGTCGATCGTAGCAATCCACGTTGTCGTTGTGCAAATCTAAAAGTCCCTAATGTCAAGGTAACTATACACCCCCGAACTCTCATCAGTGTGAAACTTCTTCTCCCAATGGGACATTTATCCACCGGACAACAACTTCTCTACCACTACTACTATTACTACTACTACTACTACTACTACTACTACTTTTCTACTACTACTTCTATACCTATTAATCATTATGATAAATATAATAATACTCCTTTTCGAAATTTTTATTCCTCCATTTACCCAGAACTGAAGGAGAAAATATGAGAAATAAGAGTCCCAATGAATGACATATTCCCGTGTCGACGATTGATAAAATCGGTGAATTTTATATTCCGATTTGAAACATTATTATCGTAGAGTTGTTAATGGATAACCAATTTATGTAGATTCTTTATAACGAATTGTCTTAGGGATAGTTTCCATATATGATAGCCGTCTGAAGGTTATTGTCCGAGTGTGGTTTCCATGTATTATAGCCATCTGAATGTATTGTGATTTGTTAGGCTTATTTGCACTTTTTTGTTTTGTTTAATATGTAATTGTTTGTCAGTCTATTTTGTTTTTTTATAGCGCTTAGAGACTTCGGTGGAAAGCGCTTTATATGTAACGTTTTTATTATTATTATCATAGGGGTAGTTTCCATGTATGATAGCCGTAGTGAGCACCCCCCCTCCCCCCTCCCCCTTGAGCGCCTGGGGGTGGGGGGTCATCTCCAAAAAAAGGTAAAATTAACGTGTTTTTACACGTTTATCTTCCTAGGGGGGGGGGCGGGCCCCCGGGGCCCCCTGGATCCGCCACAGGTTTTCATGTATGATAGCGGTCTGAAGGCAATTGTCCTAGGAGTAGTTTCAATATATGATAACCGCCTGAAGGTAACTGTCTAGCTAGGAGTAGTTTCCAAGTATGATAGCCGTCTGAAAGTTATTGTCCTAGGGGTAGTTTCCATGTATGATCGCCGTCTGAAGGGATTGTCCTCGCGGTCTGAATATAATTGTCCTCCGCGTAATTTACCGTGGGATTAGTTGTTTGAGAATCATCGTTCTAAGGGCTCAATTTCCAGGAAGAGGACTATCTGGAATAACAACCCATTATATAATTGTCCCGAATATAATGGCCATATATAGTTCGGACACCACCCTATCCATTTTTCATTTTACAATTTCATTTTGATTTCATCATTTTCTCCTCAGCTGTTCAGTGTCGTCGACTCGAAACACCACCGCAGGCTCTCCCTGGACCGTGCTCTCCTCCGTACAACACCGGCAAGATGTGCACATATTCTTGCATAGCAGGATACACGAAGATTGGAGGAGATGACAGGAGTATGTGTGACGAGCATGGTGAATGGATTGGGATTCCCATACGCTGTGAACGGGGTTAGTTTTTCGATCCCTAATCATAGATAGCGACCTCAATTTTAAAGATATACGTGACGACTTGCATGAAGTGACAATGTTAACTTCTGGCAAACCAAAACAAAACAAAGAGAATTGCATTAATGACTTGTCTGGTTTCTCTCTCATCGCTTCAGGGTTATGAGACATCTTTTAATGCCATATCTTGAATGATACATCGACATTAAAAAATAGCGCAATTAAATGCCTTGAATTTATACAGATTTGGCTGAAGGAAAAAACGTCAATGGTTAAAAATATTTGCATGATTGTGATAATCCTAATATTGCTTATCAACTCACGTACTTCTGATAATCTATCCTCTGCAGATTCTGGGACTAGAATCGTTTCATCTTGTAATCCCGACCTGGCTTTCCTTGAAGAACCTCAGAATCTAGAAGTAGCTGACGGAGATCTTTTAGAGCTGAGGTGCCGGGTCAGCGACCAAGATGCGACCTTGACATGGGTCAAAGATGGAACAAGGTTGGATTCAGGTAGGGACACCACTCAAAACTGATTTAAAAAAAAAATTAGGTTTGGTAAAATGGTACATGACGGTAATCCGGAGACTTCATTTGCTTTCAAAATAGTGATTAAAAAGTCAATCGTCGGCTGTCTAAATGAAGTCTGTGAAAGCCCTGCATTGTACATGATAGTAATAAAGTAATAAAGTAATAAACCAAACAAAATAATAGTAAAAGTATGCATTGAATCTTTCAATATTACCATTTTTCATTGTGTGGTTTCGATGAAATAAACTAGATAGAAATAAATACAACGAAAATATTATTGCAAATACTTTTTTGTAAGTTCGAGTATTTGAGAATGAAGAGGAAAAACACCCCCACAAAAGAGAGAGAGAGGAAGAGACCAGTGAAACCCCGAGAATAGTTCCAGATAATTCTACACCGAGTAATTCTTATGCACACATACACACTTTCCTCACACACCCACGAGATATGTAAAGGTGTCGTGGTTTAGTGCTGCATTTTATTTAACATATCTAGGGGTTCCGGGTGAGAAATTGATTAAAGATCAATTTTGTATCCATTATGAAATCAACGTAAATTTCGGAGAAACAAGATATTACAAACCGCTATGTATTTTCATGAATAAAAGACATTTTAAAGATAAGTAAGTGTCTTTTTAGATATTAAGAGTCGGTATTGAATCGGTTTGGCGGCGTGATGAGGTGCTATGTGTTTATCTTGCTTTCCTGCCAATCTGGTAAAGATGTTACATAGCGATACATTTTCAAAGTACTTAGAAACCGTTAAAAACATAACGTGGTTGGTTTCTATCAAATTCGTCCTAAGGTGCTGTAAACGGTATCTACGTCGACCAGCTCAACCAGCTTCTCATTCCAAGCTTCGATGAACGACACGCAGGACACTACGCATGCGCTGTATTCTCCGGGGACAGGGAATGCATGCGATCCGAGGCCAGTATAAGTAAGTCCCTTCTTCTCAAATATCATTCTTGATAGAATAGATTGTCTTAGAATGACAAAGCATTAAGTTGGTTTGTCGATACTAAGAGTTTATTGTTCATACAAAAAGAAGTAAATTGTATAAAGTTTCTCATTTCTACCTCCTGCACACAACGCATTTGAAAGAGAAAAGGGATAGTCACCCCAGAACAACTTCAAATTAGGAAGGAAACAAAATAATCACAGTTACTTTTACATCATACATCAAATCATAAAATTGCACAAATCACAACGATAACGTCCTTCGCAATAGAAACTCCACCCATCCACACGGAACAATGTATAGGGAAAAATGATGATTTTGCTGAAATACACGTATCATCGTTGATTTTGGACCCTTTCCGAACCCCTCCCCCCCCCAACCCCGACGCCAATGTTTAGATACGCCACTGTTCATTAATTTCATCCCACTCCTTGCTTTCGTTTACATTGCTGATAGCTTTCAACCCCCTGAGCTACTTCGAAATCGTTCCCTTGAATGCGTATGTCAATATCAGTGAGGATCATCGGTTCCAGTGCTCCCCCAAAGAACACACGGGGAGTGTCGTCTGGGAGAAGGATGGGCGACCGCTGGTAGAAGGAAACCTTCTCATTGTGAGTTACTTTCTTAATTAAGGGCAGTTGCACACTGGAGTCTCAAGAATTTAATAGCTTTTGTATAAAATAGCCCATTTTTGTCGCATTTTCGTAATGGAATTCATGTTTTACACTTGCTATCATATGGACAAATAAGAGAAATAGTTAGATAATGTGTTTGTTTGAAGGTTGAAATCCCTTAGCTAACGAAAGAAGATTGTCAATTGTCATATTTCATTTGTTCTACTATCCAAAGAAACGTTTTTTTTTAATTATATCGTTCATGAGCCAGATTAATTGATGAAAAGCGTTTTTCTAATTGTTTCATCTCTTTTTTACTTTTTCCTAAGCTGGGGAAACCCTTTCATAGGTATAATGCCATATATAAGAGTTGTTCTCTTATTGTTCTTATTATTACTTTCTTGTATAAAAGGCATATTATCAAAACTGAAAGCTTCTGCGAATACCATGATTCTGCACAAACAGTGACTTTCTATTAATATCAGTCAGGAACTTGGAAGTATTTGAAGGATATTTAATGCATTCTCCCCCGTGAAACAGAAAACTTTTGAAAGAAATGAGAGGAAGAAAAATTAAAGTCCATCACAAAGTTTTCGTTGTCAATAGAAAATCTAATTATGTATATTAAGTTAACGATAAAATGTTTTCATGTTCATAATTTAAACAATATATTTCAGTTTATTACTGATTCTGTGAAGGTAAACACATTCTTCTTTTTACTTTTAACTAATCTGACATATTAAATAAAAAAAGGTATAAAAATGTTATGAATGGACTTGGGCCCCCTTCCTCTCATGAATTCAGTTATGCCTATACATAAGATGCATTTCCATAGATTCAAGTGGTTCTATTTATATGATTCTTTTATCTGGCAGCACCGAGGATACCTCTATCTCACAAATATAAGGGAGGAAAATGAAGGGAAGTACACCTGCGTTGCCCGTGACGTGTTCGGACGAACCAAGGGTCGAGTACATGCCTGGCTTTATTTGACTGATCCACCTCAGATTGATATTTCTACAGGTAGGGCTTAGGATCAAAGCCTTTGATACATGCATGTCGACAGTCGCCATCGTCGTAGTAGTAATCTACTACATATACTACGACTACCACCACCACTACTACTACTACTACTACTACTACTACTACTACTATACTACTATAGCAGTACTGCTCAGTGGCGAAATAGGGGAAAAGAGAGAGCGACGGAAGAAAGAGGAGAGACGGGAAGAGAGAGAGAGAGAGAGAGGGGGGAGGGGGTGCGCGACATAAAATTTAAAAAAAAAGAAGTAGAGTAAGGAGAAGAAAAAATACGCGCTATCCTTAGTTTTCAGATCGCAAATCAGTGGTAGATCCAAATCGGGCCGAATCGATGGCCTAAAGAAAAATGGGAATAACTCGCTACTTATTTATTGAATGTCATATATTGAAATGCTGAAAAGACCTTTATTGATCACTACTCTTACTAAAATCACCATTTTACTCTCTATTTATTTTTGTATTTCTAGTTTGTGGCACGATAACATATTGGAAAGAGAGCAAAGCTCAAACTACACCCTCCCCAGTGGTAGTTACTCACACCGAGGCCCCAGATCCAGATATCGTCGCTGAATCTTCAATCAACTGGAGCAGCTTCGATGATAACGATGTAGACAGAGGCTCAGGTCGTGTGATCGGAGGAAATACAGCAAAAAATGGTTCTGCGCCCTACATGGTCCGAATCTGGGAATACAGGAATGAGAAAGTAGTGGATCCATGGACCTTCATCTGCGGTGCAACACTCCTGGACCAGAGGTGGATTTTGACTGCTGCGCATTGCATGTTTGACAAGGACAAAAACTTGATTAAAAATGAAAACATGAATTTATTTTTTGGTGACTATGATTCACTCTTCACAGAAGAGTCGGAAAAGAGCCGACAGCCAGCGGAAATTATTGTGCATGAGGACTATGACAAAACGTATTTTGATAATGACATTGCCTTAATACGTATCGACCCACCACTGTGGAATTTCACTCCTTACATTCGTCCTATTTGCCTTGCCCCTGGGGTTCTGGCCAGTCGTATCATGGAGACCAACATCAACGGACGCGTGACCGGATGGGGACAAACGTCTCTTAAAAGTTCAACCAATCGGTTAATGAAGGAGGTGGAGTTACCTATTGTTGATCGGCAAACTTGCGAGGAGAGTATTACCGAGGGTGAAGGAAGGGTTACTGAGAACATGTTCTGCGCTGGTTACCACGATGCGCAGCATGACTCCTGCAAAGGCGACAGTGGGGGTCCATTTGCTTTTCGTCATGATGATGGACGGTGGTATCAACTGGGAATTGTAAGCTGGGGCGTCGGGTGTGCTGCGGAGGGGGAATACGGGTTCTACACAAGCATCTCTAGATATCTTCATTGGTTGCGTTCTAAGAATGTAACTGTTGCATATTCTCAGAACGTGGCGAGACGGTTCAACGAGAGTCAACCCAGTGAGGCACTGTCCTTTACAGTGAGATCTCCTAGCAATTTGACTGTTGCAGCAGGTAGCGTAGTCGATCTAGAGTGTTCCCCTAACAGAGATGATGCGTCCGTTCGGTGGTTCATAAATGACAGACCAGGTAACATGTTACTCTCTACATACCTTATCAGAATACATGTTTTGATTCCAAACAGTACTAGATGGGTTTGGTAACAACACACACAAGTGATCCGACATTCGGTCCATGCAGCGACATGTTCGTCAAATATGGAGGGTAATGCAGACACCTCACCAGACCGACACCAGCTACATAAAGAGCAAACGAATAGACGAATAAAATTACCCCTAATTATGGCACCCCAAAGTGGTCTGTTTGGAGTCAGTGACAGTGCCTGAAGTTGTTTGGTTATAGCAATAAGTCCAGATGTAAAGTAATAAATTCGTCTAGTATGCCAACATTTACTGAGGATGAATTGACGCCGTTGCATCTGACATACTCCCACAATCATTGCGTTTGATTTTTTAGAGGAATGCTAAGTTTGGTTTTGTTTCTCCTTAAGGAAAGTTCTTGTAAAAGTGTGAAAGGCGTTTTGGAGCATTTCTCAACGTTTTTATCCCAATAAAGCAGTGTCCAATGAAAAAAAGATTGAAATTGAAGTGTATTCATGCATCGAATATGACTAGAAATAATTCACAATGATTTTGGGTCAGAGTCTAATGCTAAATGATGTGGGGTCCCAGGTACCCATGTCTGTGGTCATTGATTTTAGATGTTTGTGATTTTATTCAATCTGTCATAATTTTTGATGATCCCAAAATTAATGCAGCACAATAATTGTTTCTTTTTACAAGATTTTAACCGTCCAAAATTACTTCTAGATTGTAATCGCATAACAAGTACTCAACTTTGTCTTTAAAGTTTGATGCAAAATCATGATAAACAAAAATATACCATGCACTGAGAGGCTCTAGTTGAAATTATGGATCGAGGTGGCAGGATTAGCACTATTTTCTTCGGGGCTACGCCCCTCAGTACGCCCCTCAGAAAATAGTGCTATTTTTGTCGCCGAGGAATCCATAAGTTCACTAGTGGCTTGAAATATTTGTTTTATATTTTTCAAACCAACCTTCATACAAATAATAATGATAATAATGTTTCCTGTCACTGAAGTAGTGAAGAGTGCAGTGAGAGCAGCGCAATACTTTTTGCAATACCGCGACCGATAGCACATCGATCTTGATCGATCGCATATATATGACGTGATCCATGGTACAGTGCCATGGTATAATGCACTATACCATGGATGACGTCACGGTTACATCATAGCAATTTTATGTTTGGTCACATGATACTATGTTGACCAATCACTGAACAGGATTTCATTGATCAAAAATATAATACCTTTTATAGTACCGGTAAATAAATTGAACCATAATACTATGCCCATTGCCCCTCATAATGATTAGTGTTGTATATAAACATTTGTCGTTCCAATCTGACTTTAAAAGCCATACAATCCTTTTAATTTCTCTCTTGTTATTCGCAGTGAGAATCCTTGTGGAAGGAGTGCGTTTTCTACCTTCTGGACTAGTCTTACACTTTGACGCCGTAGAGGATCGTTTCTCTGGAGTATTATACTCGTGCGAGGCCAGGGTCAATGATGAGGAGGGAGAGCAAGTCATTAGAGCAAACTTCCAACTACGTAAGTGGCTTGGTGTAACCATAGCGAATAAAGACAGATAGTTGTGATACGCATGCACGGTCATAGGTTAAATTTAAGTCCCGAATAGACAGGTTCGTAGTTCGCTTTGTTACATATGACCCCCCAATATCCACATATTGTTTTACACATGGACACGTCCCACTGTGTGCATTTCGGAATAACTACTGCCAACGTGATGGAGGTGATTCATGAATGCCCATTATTTGCCCTCTTCAGAAGAATACTCTCACCCGTACTCAGAAAATGTACTGTCGGTGAATAAATGAATAATGATTTGCATAACTTTCATTAGCCTGAATCCAGTATTCGTCTTGATGGGTTATATTAACACAGGAAGGAAAGTAAGATAGACTGACATACAAAAATGACAGAACAACCAATGATATATGCTGAATTAAACATATACGTTTAACCAGATAACATGTAGGATTCAATTTCAGCCCACTTCTTAAGTATCATAAATATTTACAATAGAAGAGAATTCACTTTTCAGATACTAAAAACATTTCAACATAAAACGACTGAAAATAACATATCAAGTAAATAAATAGTAACATCCCTCATCTTTCAAGAGAAGCCTTTTATATTACAATCTGAAAGTGTGTTTCCAGCACATTGTATGCTAACCTCTAATGTACTGTATATTTCTCTTTTTTGTATTCAGATGTTACTGCAGCTTGATGATGTTCAGTCCAACCCAACTCGACAATGCAATAAGCATGGTTGACAGGAGAGATGTCGTGATTTTCTTCTTCCATTTCTTCCATTTCTGCTTAAATTTTGAACCACTGTATGTATAATAATTAGATATTTACTTTATAGATGTATGCCCACGATTATTCTGTATTTCTCAGTTGAGCCAGGAGTGTCAATTTTGAGGGATATTGCGCATTACTACTTCGACTAGATATTGATTTTCATTTAATTTTCTACCTCCCGAACTAACAAAATAAGAAACAAAAGAAGTATTTTTCTCATGAAAATCTTTAAATCCTACCCTCCAATGATTTGGGATGATAAGAACGTTCGATTTGTTCCAAAAACGTGATATCAATTAAAATTAACATGATTATTAATTTAAGATTATTTAGTCTCAAGTATGCTATTGGATACCAATTCAGTTTACCATAGAACTATCTTATTAGCCTTTTTCAACTTGATATATTATTGATGTTACATGTATGTATCCATTGTGAAGAATCTGTAATTCGGCCCACGAGTCGCGAATGTGATTTAAAAAAGATATCAATATACCATTTGAAATAAATAAATAAAAAGACGATTGCGTGGTAACAGAATTTACGATTAAACATGTAGACTGCTTGTTTCATATATCTTAAACTCCCGCCAATTGTAGTTTTGATAGAGTATATACTCAAGTAAAGTTGTGAAGAACAAATAAGTTATCGAATACGTCAACAACTTTTGTACACAATATTATAATATTAATATCGAAACCTCTCAATTATGATTGAGATTTTTGTGTTGAGTATTTCACGAGTGTAATACAGTGCATTGCTTTACTAGTGTCATGACATGTTATGTAATACAAAATACTATATCCCTCATGTATAGTTTTTTTGCATTGCGATATTCAGAGGCATAACAATTAACTTTTCCTCGAGGCAAATTAATATCATATTTACTATACCTTCGGCAAGCCTCGGTTATAGTAAATTTGATATTAATTTACCCTCGGGAAATTACTATTTATGCCACTTCATTAGCTCATAGTTTTTGCTAGAACCTCGAAAGATATTGTACATTATTTTGTATACTGTTAAAGTGATATGTGATGACACTGCGCAACTACTTACCTAGTAAAGGCCGGCTGTACTAGTTTGGCCAGGAGGGATTAGACTACATAACGTGGTTAGTGACAAGTGGCTATCTCATCAACTCAGCTCTCAATTAACAAAAGAAAAAGAGGACCATGGGGGACCAATGGTCACCGATTAGACATTGTTTTCTATATAGAGGGAGCAAGTACATGTAGCTACAAGTAGGACAGTGGGGCTTTAAACCATACCGCTGTGTTTCATTTATGAATAAAAGCTTTATTTTAAAACATAAAAGGCCTATCAAAATACTTCCTGTGAACAGCTGGTAAAGTTTTTAGAACAATACCTAAACACGCGGACAGTGACAGCAAAGTACTCAGTACTTGGGACATTTTGTTCGATATATATCTAGTTCAATGCTCTCGTAAATGGGTTGTAAACTGACGAGACTATATGTCTTTCCCGTGGCCTGACTCGGGGGCCAATCGGGTATGATACGACTACGGACTCGACCGCAGCTGCAATCACGTACCTGCAACATACGCGAAACCAAAGCGTGAGTAGAACTTCGGTCTGTTTAACGAACGCTGACTATGTAGAGATTAAGTCGCTGACTACCGTTGATCAAGACAATTCGTTTACGTGCAGTTGTCCAAAAGGAGACGCAGATTCATCAGTTTACACCCCTTTAAATAAAATTGTTTTATTTGAATTTCATTGTGGTGTTTTTAAGTTTGTAAAACAGGTTTATGAGCAGAATGAAATGTGTGTGTGTGCTAGTGTGCGTGTGTGTGTGTAAATGTGTGTGTGTGCGTGTGTTTGAGGGGGGGGGGTAACGGGCGCAAAGGAGAGATGGTGCACTGAGAAAACAAACCTGCGAGCAGGAGGGGGTAAATAAGAATGAGCAATGGAACTTCTAGGTCTTTGCTTGCATCTTTAAACTGATTATCTGCGGCAGCATCAGAGGGGAATATTGATCAGTGTCTTGCTAACAAGTGCTTGTCCAGACTAAAAATAGTTTCCATGGCTAATCAGAAAACGAGAAGCTCAATAAATTGTCCTCACGTAATCGGTATTTCTACTATAGGGTTTGAGAAAACATTTAAGTAACCATTTCTTTGCCGTATTCAACAATAATGTGATCATATTGTTATTTGTTAAGTGAGTGGTAAGAATCTGTTGGCTATGATTACCATTTTATGTATATTTCCACTCTTTTCAAATGATACAGGTATAAGAAGTTTAGTCTTATTGTTTGCGTGTATGGTCGATGAAAAGCGCGCGCTGGAGAAAGATAGAGAGAGAGAGAGAGAGAGAGAGAGAGAGAGCGCGCTTGTTAATGTACATTACATTACCCAAAGTCCATTTAAAAGTTTGTTTATGTTTCGATGATTTACATAACATTTTTTGGAATAAGACATTTGCATTTTCAATTAAAAAAAAAGAAGTATTTATTTCGGTTTAAAAAGACATATAAATATACATAATTCAAAGGTCCAAGGACCCAAACTGATCATGTTTACAAGTAATACAATACAGTGATAGTTACAGAAAATATACAATAGTGAGCCAAACGAACAGGTATGACAAGTACAAGATGGTAATAAAGATGAACAATTTCAAACAATACAATACCAAAATAAACTACAGAAAGTAGTGGTCAAGATTTTGAAATGTTTGGATACAACTACTTTTAAAGCTTATTTGAGGTTTTGAGGTTGCAGCCCCCCCCCCCCCTATTTTGAATTCATATCGGGCAACCATCCGCTTACACACGGGCAGCGAGTTTTTTATCCTTCCTGTTTACCTATCTTATCTAGTACATTTTCTATGACTATTTAATAATGACCAAACTGCCCATGATTTCGGATATTGCGGTGGAATGCCTAATATTGTCCATTGGAGTTTAAATATTTGTTGCTGCCTGGAACTTGCATTTAGATTAAATAATATGTACATTGTCTATATCATTTTTGATAGCCCTACTCTTTTCATACTCCACACATCTCCCCCATTCAGTGGACGATATACTTGGATCACGGATAGTATGGACCGAAGTACATCCGGACACCGAGATGGTCCGGTTATCCAGTCTCGGTGCTGATCCGCTCAACATGCTTACACCCGAAGGAACTCTCCGATCGACAATCACCACCGAGTTCCACTATCGAGTGTCCCGGGGGTCCTGGGGCGCAGTGGCCATCAACTATGGCCAACAGCACATCTTCTGGATTGATCCAAATCAATTGCAAGTCCTCAATTCAATCGCAAGTTTGCAGTCTCTTACACTTCAAATTCGTCGTGTAACGAATTTAAACAACAGTTGGGTGGTTCACTCCTTGCATAGGGGTTCCGTTAAGAAAAAAAAAACTTGTGTATTTTGTTTACACAACTTAACACAACCCCTATGTAAGGAGTGAACCACCCAACTGTTGTTTAAAGTCGTTACACAACGAATTTGCAGTGTATCTCTTATGTATATAGTTGCAATTGATATCAATCACAAATACACTGTTAGAAAAAAATTAAACAAGTTGTTTAAAATTTTAAACAACCGCAAGTTAACCGGTGAATCGCTCAACTGTTGTTTAAAAATTAAACAACTTAAGGTTGTTTACGTTTTGAACACTTAGTTGTTTAAAAAATAGAAAATTGACAATTAGCTCATAGTTAAGTTTGCTGAAATTGACACGACCAGACAACGAATCAAGACCATTAGCCTTTTAATATGTTGTTTTCCTTGGCTGGTATGAGGGAGGACCTCCCTGTTTCGGAGGAGGGAACCTTTATCACGAAACGACGTACGTGATAGGTCAAACAAAGTGGTGGTGATTGCCTTTTAACCAATCAATGCCCAGCTGGCCTACATAACTACTTTGCTGGAGGGTGATTTAGCGACCCGGATATAAACAACAGTCTATAATTTCACTCGTCCGATGATTTTAATGTAAACAAAAACTTAGGGTTACAAGCGTGGTATAGGAAGGTCATCCTGATCACTTTCGCTCGACGTATTTCAGATTTCGCACTGAAGAAGCTGGTTGACTTATATGCGCGTCGATATAAGTCAAGTATACCACAACAAGAAGCTCCATTATATTCTATCAGCCTCCGCCTTTCGACTTATCAAAGCACAGAGCCTCAACATGAAGATTCTCCTTATAAGGGGTTTGTGTATTTTGGTGATGGCATCGCTTTTTCTCCATGGAACAGGTAATGTTAATTGTGCATAATCTATTTATTACCATCTCTTCTCCTGACCGTATTGTGGCATATATTATCGTGTATTATCTAGGCAATATATTTGCAGATACCTTGTACTCGCATGGAGTATTATACAAGGAGTAGTAGAATAGTAGCAGTAGCTATATGAGTAGAGGTGGTGCCTAGTAGAAGTAGCAGTTGTACTTGTAGTACAGTCAAACCTGCTTTAGTGACCACCTGTCTACAAAGACCACATTTTTTGTTTCCCTTAAAAATGATCTCATTAAAACATGTACTAAAGTAACCTGTCTACAAAGACCACATTTTGTGTTTCCCTTAGGCGGTCGCTATAGACAGGTTTGACTGTACCAGGAATTAGTGGTAGTATAGTGGTAGTTTATAGTACCAGCAGTAGTCCGCATTCGTGTTATTATACAGTCGTAGTACTATTCGTTGACGGTTATAACAATAATTTAAAATGGTTGTCATGTTAACGTTGAAACGTTATGACTTGATTTGTAATAAAATTAAAGTTCCATCTATAATCGTAATAACAATAACACTACAAATTATAAAGAATTACACAGAACTTCAAACATTTTCTTTTCTTGAAAGAAGGCATTCTATCACGCTTATCATATATTCTTTGCAATTGAAATATTTGCGAATTGTTACGACCATCGTTGCCATGTTGTTTATTTGTGTGTGGGTGCGTGATTTTGTGTGTGTGTGTGCTTTATGTTTTGTTTTGTTTGTCTCTTTGTTCTTTGTTTTTTTTCCCTTTGTTATTTATTTTTCTTTCCTTGCTATATATGGCCATACTATTTAACTTTCCTCGTAAAACTATCCCTTTTCTTGTTGTGAACACTCCAAACGCAACAATCTTACGCTAAGGGATATAATAACAAATATTTATTTTCAACTTTTTCAAGATTCACTATAGACATGACCGACGTTCAGCGTATTGCATTACTCGGGTTTTCACATTAAAACCATACTTGACCTGATAAGACCCCCAACACGAATAGTTCACCGTTTCCCGGGACAAGGTGAACTTTTCGTGACGTCAGCAATACATTTTAAAAGAGTATTCGGCAGGAAACGTCTTTCCTAGTAAAACTATTATTTTCTTGTTGTGAACACTCCTAATGCATTGGGATATAAAATGAAATATATATTTTCAATCTTCTTCAAGATTTACGAAAGACAAGACTAACCGACGTTCAGCGTATTGCATTACTTGGGTTTTCACATTAAAACCTGATAAGACCCCCAACACGAATAGTTCATCTTTTCGTGAACTATTTGTGACGTCAGCGATACATTTAAAAAAGTATTCGGCAGGAAACGTCTTTCCTAGTAAAACTGTTCTTTTCTTGTTGTGAACACTCCTAATGCATCATCATCAATAGTGATCTGACAGTTTATGATAGGTTCAGTGACCCAATCAGAATGTTATATCAAGTGTCTCT